TATTTATACACTATCAAAGTTATCTGGAGATTTGATTTCCATAATCTCTTCAATTTAAATGATATTGTTTAGATTTGCAATATGGTTTAAGTGATTCATAACATTTCTTTATCGATCTCCCAGTTCAGAAAAGCTTTTGAACACATGCTTAAAGTTAGGCATATGTTTCAGTTCCTTGCCGAATCAGGGTTTTAATGAACACTTCCGCTTTGTAATACAAAACGTTAAAGTACTGCATGCCTTAAGCCTTTTATACCATTCATTTAAAAATGTTTAATACTAGAGTAACAAAAAAGTTGCTTATGAAGAAGATTAAGCAAGTTTTGCACTTTGTAGTAATTCAATGGGAAAAAAGGTTACTAACCTTCTGTAACTTGTTTTTGTGAGATGTGTTGCACATGTCCATTCCATGTGTGTGCACGTCCTAAGCACACTCACTGGAAGATTTTTCCCTCAGTGGTACCCACCGGGGCAGCTAGAATGCCCTCTGGTGCCATGCACCTATAGCGCCGTTATAAAGTGCCCAGCCAACTCTGCACCCTCTCAGTTAGTTGTTTCTGGAAAACTCTGATGCAGAAAGGCAGCAGGGTGGGTCGTGGAATGGACATGTGCGATGCATGTTGAAGAGCAACAGTTATAGAAGGTTAGTTACGGTTTTTCTTTCTTTGAGTGATTGCACATGTGCATTCCACTCTGGGTGACTCCAAAGCAGTGGAGGGATCAGAATTCATGGACATACTGACTGCAGGACAGCTCGACCAAATTTGGCATCATCCCTGGACTGTTGAGTGATGATATAATGGGAGGAGAATGTGTGCACCAATGACCAGGTTGCTGCTTTACAAATATCCTGAGTAGGGATCTGTGACTGGAATGCTGTTGCTGATGCTTGCAACCTTGTGGAATGAGCAGTCAGGTTAGCTGATAGCAGAACACCTGCCTGGTCATAACAAGTATGAATGTATGAGGTGATCCAAGACGAAACTGTCTGTGACGAGACTGGGAGACTCTTCATCATATTAGATACAGCTACAACAGTTGGGTAAATTATTGGAACAGTTTAGTCCTTTCTATGTAGAAAGCCACATAGTGCATCTAACATCCAACGAGTGAAGATGTGGTTCCTCCCTATTTACATGCAGCTTCGGGTAGAAGACAGATGGGTAGGTAGATTGCCTGACTGCTATGAAATTGCTAAACCACTTTTGGGAGGAAATAGGTGAGGACGTAAATGCACCTTATCTTTAAAGAAGACTGTGTACAGAGGTTCTGATGTGAGGGCATGGAGATCCGAGATCCTTCTGGCCGAAGTGATGGCCACTAAGAAAACCACTTTCCAGGAGAGGTATAACAAACAGCAAGTTGCCCAAGATTCAAACTGTGGTCCCATAAGCTTTGATAGATCAAGTTGAGGTCTCAGGGAAGAACAGGCTCTCTTACTTGAGGGTATAACCTTTGTAGGCCCTTGAGGAATCAAGCAGACATGTCATTTGAAAAAATGGACTGGTTATCCACCCAAGAGTGGAAAGCTGATTTTGCTGCAAGGTAAATCTTGACAGAGGAAATAGCTAAGCCTTGCTGCTTCAGGTATAAGCGATACTCAAGAATTTCTTGTAAGAATGACTGTGTGGGTGAAACCCTGCATTGGGATGCCCAGACAGAGAACCGCTTCCAGTTTGAAAAGTAAGTATCCCTGGTGGAGCTCTTTCTACTACCTAATAGGACCTGATGAACTTGCTCTGAGCAAGCCTGCTCTCTGGGAGTTAGCCATGGAGCTTTCAGGCTGTTAGGTGAAGGGAGCTCAGGTTCAGATGGAGCAGCTGATCATTATCCTTAGAGATCAGGTCCAGGTGTAATGGAAGCGGGATGGAGTCATCACTGAGAGGCCTAGCAGAGTGGAGAATCTGTGTTGATGGGGCCATGCTGGGGCCATCAGAAGAACTCGGACCTGGTCCTGGGTGATCTTTAGCAGTACTCTGTGCACGAGCGGGATAGAGTTAAAAGCATAATAAAGATGTCCTGTCCATGATATCAAAAAGGCGTCCATAATAAAACTTGGACTGTGACCTCGCTGGGAGCAGAACTGGTGACACTTTTTGTTGTACCAGGTTGCAAATAGATCTGGGGAGTCCTCCACTGCTGGAAAACGTCCCTTGCCACATCTGGGCAAAAGGACCAGTCGTGGTGACTGGAGAAAGTCCTGGTGAGGTGATCTGTCAGGTCTTTTTGCGTTGCCAGAAGGTACGAGGCCACAAGACTGATTGAGTGGGCTGTGCAAAATTCCCATAACTGAATCGCTTCCTGACATAGGAGGGAAGAGCAAGCTCCTCCTTGCCTGTTAAGATAAAACATGGCTGCAGTGCTGTCCATAAGAACAAACAAGTTTCTGCCCATAATGTGTGGCAGGAAGGCCTGACAGGCCAGGTGAACTGCTCTGAGTTCCCTGACACTGATGTGGAGTGAAAGTTCCTCCAGAGACCAAAGGCCGTAAAAAGGGAACGCCCGCACAAACAAACAGTGAGCAGATCCAACCACCAACTGTGGGAGATGAGGACCCACGGAGGTACTATGAGTGCGAAGTCCAGATGGTAGCGGTTTGGTGAGTACATTGAGGCCAGCCATGTCTGGAGGGGTGTGAGGTGCAGTCTTGCCTATTGTACCACATATGTGCACAAGGCCATGTGACCTAAAAGTCTCAGACAATTTTGGGCTGTTGTGACTGGACGACTCTTGAGGTGAATCATCAGGGATGCGATTGTCTGGAAACGACCGTCTGGGAGGTAGGATCTGGCCTGAGTAGAGTCGAACACCACTCCAATAAACTCTATCCTCTGCGCTGGTGCGAGGGTAGATTTCTCTACATTTATCAGAAGGTCTCTGGCTTTGAACATCGACTGCATAAGCTGAACGCTGGACACTTCCGGAGCCCTGGACCAGCCCTTGACTAGCCAGTGGTCTAGTTAAGGTTAGACCTGCACCCCTAACCTCTTCAGGAAGGCTGTCACTACCGCCAGACATTTTGTAAACATCCGTGTAGCTGCAGATAGGCCGAATAGGAGGGTTCATTACAAATCTGAGAAACCTGATGACATATTGGTATATTGATATATGTAAAAAGGCATCTCTTAAATTGAGGGCAGCATACCAGTCCCTGGGATCTAGGAAGGGGATAATGGATGTCAGGGATGGTCTAGATAATACTTAGTCCTGCCTTGAGTGCAGGGGACTGGACTAGAAGATCTCTACAGGTCCCTTCCAGTCCTACAATTCTATGAACTATGTATAAATATAAGAAAAAGAAGACCACAGAGAACTTGCCAAAGCAAGGATAGCAGTTCCAGCGACCACCACAGGTGTTAAGAAGGAATTGAGAGGGCATGGGGCTGGCTGGGCACTTTATACCAGCGCTATAGGCATGCAGCACCAGAGGATGCTTGAGCCACCCCAACGGGTACCACTGAGGGAAAAATGTCCAGCAACTGTGCTTGGGGCATGTACATTCTTAGGGTGGAATGCACATGTGCAATCATTCAAAGAAGAACTTGACATCTTTATCATTAATATATGAAAAATTAGTAAATAACTTATTTTTGGCTTAATGTAGTTCAAGCAGCAGGAATTTAAGAAAATTTAATTATTATAAAAGTAAAAAGATTTGAGCATTATATAAAAATATGCATTTGTTACTAAATACAAAGAATGCTAGCGTTCCAGTTTTGCAATATGCAGATTCTACCAACAGAAATGACATGCACTTTACCAAGATGTTATGCATTCATGAGCATTAGCCACCCAAATCAAGCAAATATTTATTTCCATTTTGTAATGTGCTGTTTTAAACTAAAGCATTCTTTAGGTCTCATTTGAAAGAAGAATCATCCTAAACTAAGAAAGAAAAAGCACGGATGCTACACAATAGAGGTCAAAATTAATGCAGTCCTTATTTGATGTAATACATAAATTAATATGAGCCAGAGGAGTCCACAGGAAAAATCAGCAATATTATTTCAGCGTTACTGAAAACGCTTGTTTTTTAGAAACAGTTGTAATTAGAAAAACAAAAGTAAAAACAAAAAAATACTATGATAAACCAATCCTGGAAGGCAGACATCTACTCTAGTTTTCTAGAAAGCAAAAGTGATGATAAATATATGTTCTAATAACTAAAGCGAATTACAAAATTAGACATGGGTGCCAAATGAAAGAGTCAGATTTCAAATACCCAAAGTTTGGGAGCAATGGGTCCAATATTCTACATCTATTTTATCACTAACAAAAGTGTAAGAATGAAATGAGTAATAAGTAGGAAGTTGCCAAACTGACAGCGGTATGAAATAAAAAATATATTCAGATGTTGAACTATACGAGAGGCCTCAGAATGAGACAAGTTTTCAAAATAAAATCCTTAATTTATATATAGGAATTATGAACGTACAAACTGACAATTGCATACATAATTTGCCTTTCTGCATATAAAATGTAGGCATTTAGTTTTACAAAGGTAACCTTAAAGTTTAGTTATTGTAAGGTAAATTATGACTAAAAAAAATAAGAGCATCTAACTATTGGTGAATTAAGCAGAATACATTTTAGAAAACAACAAAACTTAAAATAACCTTAAAAAGTCTACCTTTCCCTTGTATTCAAATAGCAAGCCGTGTCTCCTGTGCCTCAAACTACATCTGATGCAATTTTTTTTTAAACTGTAAATTATTAGAAAAACGGGAGCTATCATTTATTGAAATCAGTAGTTCCCTTCTAGGGAGACAGCATCCAAAAAGGGGCATTTTAGGGGTTGATTTTTTTCCCCTCTAAAATAATCAATTTAGTTTAAAGCAAATATTTCTTTAGTTAAAATAACGTTTTTCAACAGTTTTATTGTAAAGGCAACTTTAAGCATGTACATGATATTATTTCAATTAGTTTTTTTAAAGTGAAACCTGCAGTTGGATTATACATTTGTACTTTTAAGACTAATTTGAATTCAAATAAAAGCAAACCTGCACTAAGACTTCCTGAGGGTTTATTTGTAGTTCCAAATCCGAACGATGGTGCGCCTGTGGCAGTGCTTCCAAAAGCAGAGCTACTTCCAAATCCTAGCGGAAGAGTAGTAAAAACATGCAACAACATAAAATGTAGGTAACATAGAACACTGCAATTTATAGTTTTTAGACAATAATTTAAAAGCTAAGAATTATTTTTAGTAAATCTATTTCACTACTCAAAGTGTCCTGATCTAAATGCAGCACTAACTGAATTCTGCAAAAAACAACCCCTCTACCCTGCCCCCAGCAATGCTCAAACAGAAAAGCATCTGAGAATCATAGAAAACTATTAGTAGTTTTATTTAAAAATCAGATACTGAATGGTAAGTATTAAGCTATAAACAATGACTGCAGTTAAATGGAAATGTCTGTGGTCAGTCACATTATTCTATAGCTATTAAAATACAAAGAGGATGAGTTCAATTTCACTCCACCACCAGTAGGTTAAAAACCTAAGCAAATTCAGACTTAAATTACATGAATAGGCTAGGAATTCTAGCTCCAGTAACCTCAGGACTTGTCTACATGATAAAAAATTGCCCCATTTTAACTAAAGGTAATATTTAAAACCAAATTTAGTTAAATGGGTGCCAAAGGCTGCATGGACACCTTTAATTTGGTTTAAACCCTGCTTATTTCAATTCAGCTTAAATCAATTAGGGATCAGTTTAAGATAAATCAAAATAAGCCACACTTCAATTGCAACTTCCTTGTGTAGACAAGACTTTAGCTGAGATGAAAAGTATGAGGTAAAAAGCTCTAATAATTAAGATAATAAAGTATTTGGCACTCTTAGAGGTAGAGATCACTGTAACAGGAAAACAAATACATTATAAGGTTATCAGAGCCTGGTGACCAAACTAATTTAACTACTAAGTTCGTATGAAATAGGATTTCATCAGAACTACTCAACTACATCCTTGCAGAAAAAGGGCAGCCATCTTTTACTCTATAATTATGTAATCTCAAGGAACAATTTGATTTAGTAGTTCTGAGATGTTTATATTTTGAGACTAGACCATTCAAAATTTGCTTAGAATGTAAGATTTTTGAAATACTGGTCACTATTAACGTATACAAGGAAAAGTAAGCACACATTTGATGTTTGAGGAAGAGGCTATGGGATAGGAAAGATTAAAAATCCATTCAGTAGCTTTAACTGATCCTTTTTAAAAGATAACAGCATTCAAACTTGTTAAATGACACCCTTCTTTTCAAGCTTTAGTTAAAAAGCTACGAAAAATATTCACATTTTTAGCAGAACTGTAAGATCTACAGGTCTTAATTTACAAATATGAATTTTAAGGTTTATAATTGTAGTAATTCAGGACATGTAAAGTTCCAAAATATTGATTCTATAGACAAGGGGACTTTGCCTTTGTGCCAGAGAAATCTCTCTATTTTACAGGTGAACAAATACCACATATTGTATGAGTGTAAGGTTGGTCAGTGGAGCAACATTTCCCATTTTTTGCCCAATCTAATTATAAATGGATTATCAGATACGTGTTAGTACCATTAGTACTGGAATGTTGTTTTAATTAATGAAGGAGCAGGCATCTACACTCCAGGAATACTAACTATACATGCAACTGTTAAGACTAACTTGTGAATATGACCAGTAAGAAATTTTGCAAGTGAAGAATGTAATTTGGAGAATGTGTGTCTAATAACCCATTATGATTACACTACTTGAGTTAAGTATTTAATTTTCTGAAACCTTGAAGTATTCACTTTGTCCATTTATTTCCAAGAACCCCATTTCTCGATGTTTTTTTTTCTTCCCCCTGTACTAAGTTCTCTTTTTTAAATTATTCTTCACCACGTGTCGTAAGTCTGTATGTTGCAGAATAAATTACAAACCCAAACAAAAGGAGTTAAGGATTTTACAAGATAATATACAATTATGGCAAAAAGTTATTAAAAAATTGCCTTCTTAAGCAAAGGGCTACTAAAGAAAGTTTAAAAATTAAGGCTTCAAGATCTAGCCAGTAGTTAGCTCCTATTTACTTGCTAGGACAAGTTTGTGTAACTTGCATCAGCAAAATTTCTAAAGAAGTGTATCTGAACAAACTGTAGTTTACAACATGTTTGAGGGAGGGACCAGGCCTTCCCTTTATGTTTGTACAGCACCTAACATGCTATGGGGCCTCTCAAAACAAGTAATGTAAATACATACTTCTTTTAGTCCACCTATGAAGATTAGTAATTTTTCCTGTTATCGGTACACACAAAATCTACTTCCATAGATAGTCAAATTTACACTTTGGCTGATGAGGACCATTCTGGAATTTATAAAGACTATCTTTGGAAGTAGTTCATATTAAATGACTCATTTTAAAGATCTCAAACTACTGTAAATACACCGCACCACACAACATTAACAGCAAGTGAATTTTAATATCTATATAGTTCTGTGAAATTTACATGTTGATAGTCACTTTTCAGTTCACAGTTCACCTGTTGATAATAATCCTATGTTTCAAGTGAGAAAGCAATATTCATTAATTTTAAACTATCTTTTTTACATCACTACCTGCTCTTTAAGGCACAGCTCCTCTCCTGGAGGTTCTCCTACCTACTCCCTCCAGTAAGTCAAAAAATATTTGATTTAAACAAAAGAGAATTTTCCTCATTTTCAGAAGTTGTGAGGTTGAATAGCTTGACAAAAAGGATTTTGGATCTCAGCATTAAGAGGCAAACATTTTACAGAGCTGAATTCTGTACTAGAAAGCTATGTAGCAGAACATAATTATGCTTTGACAAACAGGTTCCCTGAATAAGTGCAAATTAGATAGTTTTCCAGTACAGTTTCTTATTAAATCCTTGAACTGATCAACAAGCTGAAATGTGTTTTAAGAGTTAGAACTCAATTGTACACAGGAGAAATTTCTTAATTAGGTTAACATACATTCTTCTGGCTGCTATTTCAAATCCAAATAAAATGGGATTGTCTTTAAAACTGTGGGTACCTACTTTTAAAGCCTTTAGTAAACTATAAATAAATTCAAGTCCTAGTTACAAAATAATTGGTACTTTCCTGGTTTCAAAAAAAAAATGCAACCCCAACATGCTTATCTTATGCCCATCTCTCTTGCTTCTTTGGGTTCACTAAAAATGTCAACACTAGATTTAACCTTTGTGGTTTATCTTACTCTCGCTCTACAATGCAGATGACTTTTTCCCTTCAAGTGCCTTACTTTTGCCAAACTGAAGATTTACTTCTGAAACAGATCATCCTCTTAGTGAAGTTTAAAGTTTGTAATAAATTCAGATGTATTGTATAATAATTCAATGAAATATTAGAAAAGTTAAAGTGTACCTCCAAGGTGTGAAGAACCTAAGCCACTTGATTGCAAGCCAGTGCCAATACCTGAGCCGAATGGCGTTCCAAAACTAACTCCCAGAGATGGCTGTGGCCCTGGTATAAAAAAAATGAAAACAAACTTGCCTTACTCTTTCATGATAAAGAGATCCTTTATGTAATTATTTGATAAAAGTGAACATTATTTGCTTTTAACAAATTCCATTAAAGTCCCCCAAACTTTACCTCTTCAAAATTCTTCCCCAAACTGCCTCTATGTCCACCTGGTAAATCTAAGAAAATACTGAACACAATGTAAGGTGAAGCTACTTAAAACTAGCTAGTTACAATATATAGTGAAGTATTTTTGTTACAAATTCAGTCTAACCGTATAAACCTATTTTAATAATTTATTAAAATCTTTTAAGAACTACACTTAAATGTGACACTATTTTGACACACATTCTGTTGAAAGCAGAAGGAGAATCTTTTTTAAAAATCTAACTTTAATAGTTAGTATCAAGTTCCAATTAAAAGAAGAGAACTGACACTAACACGACTAAAAACCATCGTGTTACCAATAGCCAATATATTTAATAACTAGAAACCTTCAAAGCTACTCATTTGAGTATTTTTCCAAATTTAAACAAACATTAAATAGATAAAAAACAAGACAATGACTTTATTTTATTAAATTTATTGTTCATTTTAAAGCAAGTCAATTACACAACATGACAATTCAAACTTTTTCCACACAAAATAACTGAGTTCTGTTAAGCTTTGCTACATTACACCATTCCAACCACCTGTTTAAATAAACATTTACAAAGGCACAATTTTGTGTACCTTAACTAATTAGATACATTCAAAATTTCAAATTCAGAAGTTTGTCCCATCATTTAAAATTTTTTAGAGACAGCAATTACCCTGCACGTTCACACTAAAATGCAGGATTGTCAAAAACCCATTTTCAGTCTGCCAAGCTTAAATTTATAGCCTTAGTTTGTTTTTCTTGTGGAGAATAGAATCACCTTGCTAGCCCCTCCTGTTACTAACATTACAAAAATCTAAAAGTCATTAACGCTGATAAATAATTTATGAAAATGATTCAACAGTTTTCACAGTACAATCTTCATATTCCTGTCTTTTTCAAACACAGTCATCAGTGCATTAGTTAGAAAGTTGAAGGGGTTGTCAAGATAAAATACAGTGCCTACCTCTTAACCAAGTTAAGTACATTCTTATAATTTAAAAAGGCAATACTGTAAGCCATATGGTCACAAGCATACATAGCACAGAATGCAATGTACGTGGTAATGTCTTTGCCAACAATGTTGGAACAAGTAAGATCTTGTAGTCCTTTTATTTTTGTTGTTATCTTTTGGTTCTTATTCAGAATTTTTGCCTTACTTGTTAAAGTTTCTATAACCAGCAATTTCCGTCTAAAGTGATTTAAAATAAAAAAAGCTAGTGGTAGTATTTTGAATACAAAGTATTTGGTTCTTGAAATTGAGAAAGTCAAATGGAGAATCAACTAGTGTTTGAATTAAGTAGAAGGCACTGTATTTATTAAGTGGTAACACTTTAGCAAGAAACACAACAAAGCCCTTAAATGATCCAATGCAAAATGAGGTCTGCCTACTCAAAGTAGTGTTAAACTAAAATTTATAAGGGCAACTAAAGCTGCGAATTTGCAGTCTGCGATTAAGTAGCTATTTGGGAACTCAAGTTCTATCATTGTTCCAAGTAAGAAGTATGCACTGTATTTCATACCAGCTAAGGCCTTAAAGTATTTTTCTACAATAAAAGTGATGGATTAATCTCAAACTAATTTGTTTACATCCAGTTTATTTTAAATATGGAAATATCTACTTAGCAGCTCCTTTAAAAATGTTGTCAGTACAAAGGAAATTCAAAACAAAACAAAAAACCATGTCAGTTAGACCTCTAAAACTAAAAAAACTAACAGAAAAATGTGTCCAGTTCCTTCTCATTTAAAGAGAGTGCATCAATTTTCTACCTTAATAGGAGGCACTGTTGGTGGAAGACCTTAGAATAGAATGAAGACACCAGAGTCCTCCAAGACATGCTTGTTTTTAAATGTAACATGCTTTTTAGATCAGTAAAACAGTATTATTCTAAAACACCTATAATATTCAAGTTATATAAAACAGGATTTCATTCCAAAAGCTGACAAGCTTTTCATTGAACAGGCCTGTGATATATTTGTTCATTTTGTACCATAAAATTCTGAAGGCATTGTCATAATTTATAAACCTCTTAGGTAAACATACATAATTTTCAATAGCAAAAGACTAGTGATAAAGATCCTCCATGCCAAAAGTACCAGCAAACATAGTCACCTTTGGCTATTATAAGTTATGAGACAAATCTTTAAAACAATAATTTTAACAATATTTTAAAACCTGCTATTTTTTGCCCTGTAGAGCATTTTTAGTTTAATAAATAAAGACTCACTACTAAGAACCCAGTTAGACAATAGGTCAACAGGATTCCCTACCAAAGTGATACCATAGATTAAATTTGTGACATTTTACAGAGTTCATCACATCATTGGTTCAAACACAAGACCAAATTTAGTGTCACAATTCAAATTTCATTCTGAGTGTAATACACTGAAATTTTACCTAGGTCAAGGTCAAATTATACAATAAAGTTCTAAGTGCTGTAAAGATTTTATTAAAGTATCCCATTCTCACTTAAATTTCATGTTGAGAAGTCAAAACATAGCTAATATCTTAATCATGCTTTGACTTTAGTTTCCCCCCCCCAGCTAAATCAAGAATAATTAAATGTTTTGGGGGAAATGAAGGAAAGTATTCATTTGGTTAAGCGAACTTAGCCTTACCAGCAGAATGTTAGATCGGTTCCATCCTATTGCATGTAAGGCTGTAATGACACGAGGCTTTTTATTTTCCCTTAGTGTTTCTCACAATTTCTACTGCCACCAGTAGCACTAAGAGTAGACTGCCCCCCTGGCATTTTAACTACCATGTTGTTAACGACTGCTTATTGCAGGTCTAAATGAGAGGGTAGTAAAAGCGCTTGCTGCTGATCTAACTAGCACAACCAGCATTCCACCAACAGTAATGCTGCATTAAGAGTAACAGTGTGAAATTAAGAGAAAAGTTTAGTGCAGACATAGCTAAAGCGTAGTTTTATTAACGCTAAACCCTTGACTTCTGAATGTGAACTAAAAATAAATTACGGTCTCTGCCTTCCTTCAGAGAAAGATGAGTAGCTTGCTAAATCTAAATTAACTTTAAGGAATAGCCTTATACCATGTAAACATCAATATATTTTTAGACACAAGAACAAAAGTCCTTACTCTTGACATTTAGAGTACTGTTACTTTTTTTTTTAGCCAAACTTTAAAAGCCCAGATTAATTTTCTTGTTTTAGAAAAGTCTTTGTGAAGAGATCACGGGGAAGAACAGTAGATCAGGTATCGCTCTCTCACACACACATACAGTCAAACACTTGTCCTGCCCTCCTCTCATCCCTTATATTCCTGCTCTTTTGGGCCCTGATCTTGCAAATATTTAAGCACCTGCTTAACTTTATGCACTGTGAGTAGTCACTGAAGTCAATGAGATTACTCGCAGTGTGTAAAGTTAAGTGAATGCTTTAAGTCTTTGCAAGATTGGAACCTTATTGCAGTAGAAGGCCAAATGGCATCTTTTCCTCTGCTAAACAGACAGTGATCCAAACATCTATTCGCCTCAGCTGCTTACAGCCAAGTCCTATATATGTGTTTTATGGGGAGACAATGAGTGCATTTGGTAATAGTCTGACCCCATTAGTGATAACCTAAAGTCATTGCCACCTATTCTTTTTTGGTGGCATACGTGATAAAGGTTGATTGCCTGAGTCCATCTGCATCAGAGACCATGATCACATCAATAGTTGGCATACTTGTTGGCACTTCTGAGATACCCAACAAAATAGGAGCAAAGACTTTATTACTATCCACAAAAAAGTTATTGGGGGTACCTCAAGATATAAACTGCCTTATCCTACAGAGGTTGGCATAGCTCAACTTTTCAATTCTCTCACCCATCCTGCTGAAAGGACATTCATACTGAAAAAGTTCTAACAATGACATTACTTTATTGATGTGATAACTGGTAGTTATTTTGTCTCTGGAGCCAAAAAAAGAACTTCAAACCCCTCAGTGGTAATGAGTACACATGATTAGGACATCTTAAGTAGTGTGACAATCAATCCTATAATGACTAATGAAAGGATCTTAAAAGACAAGAAAAAGGTGAGTGGAGAGGTGCAGTTTTTGGTAACTATTAGGGCTGCACAATCCACACATCCCTCTATATAAAAAAAAAAAAAACCAATGAGAATTGGAAGGCATTTCAGATTGTTACATCCTTAAAAAAAGTTTACTGTATATGTCAATGCATCTAGAGAAGAATTCCACAATTTTTAGTTATAGCCACCAGTAGAAACACTCTTAGTGGATTACAGTCAATATTTAGATATAATCTATATTTCCCTTTTGTTGTGATCCATGTATTCTGGTTTACATGTAATTGGACCTGGTTCCTCACTCTTCACAGGGGCCAGGGCTAGAAGTATATAGAGCTTTCTACCTACATAGATAAGGGAGGGAGTGCCTCATTACTTAAGAACAATCCCTACAGATGATTTTTGAATGACTCTGGGCAAAGCCATATATTCCTTTGGTTGGTCAGATGCCAGCACTGAAGGCATTGTGGGCAAAGAAAGCAAAGGTGGAGCACAGAGAAGAGGAAAAGATCCTGAGGTGATTAGCACATCTAGGATAAAGAACATTTCAGGAGGAAATCAAATGGTAAAATAGAGGTAGATCCCAAATTTGCAAACTGGGTGTCTGAAGTTTGGCACCTAAATCTATGTTCAGGCTCCTTAACAAAAGTGCATGATTTTTTCAAAGGATTGTGCATCTGCCATGAACATGGTTGGATTTTTCAAAGGTGACATGTGAGGTGCACAGTCCCTTTGAAAAAAAAAAATCAGGCCACTTCTATCAAAATGCCTATCTTCAGGCACCCAGCTTTGAAAATTTTGGTTAATATGACTAGGAGTGCATTTTGACAATGTCAACTAAGACAGCCTAAATGGCTTCCTTTCCTGTCCAGTCACCTCACCTGTACATCGGGCCAAAACACACATCCTTGATGTGTTTCACACACACACTTTTTCTGTTCTTGTTCAGTCACAACAGCAAATGGCCTGTTAGCAACTGTTTTAGTACCATCCTTCCGAAGAAATTAGAAAAACAAGAAACAATGGGCCAAGCATTCTTTCCTTCTACTCTACATACTTAAGCTCCAATATCCTCTGTTTTGTAGCATATTTTAATTTACAATTCCAAAGTGCTATATAAAAATGCATCATTCATTTTACATAAGAAAAATGCAATATGCATTTGGATTCATTCCTCCCTCCCCCCCCCCCCCAATTTGAAAATCATTTACTATACAATTATACAATTTTGGAAAGATGCTATATTACTCATATTCAGAGATGTCATTTAAGAATGAAGACTCACATTCCAAGGGGTAATTAGAGGAATACAGTAAATATCACTAATACAAATAAATTCACAAGATTAAATATCTATCTGGTATATAATTATTGCTAAGTCTACCCTGCATTTTTTATTAGCTATGTATTGATAACTTACAATTTTTTTTATTTTTAAGCCAACACAAAGGAAGACCTTATATAAAAATTTACACAAATTGACTATTGTAGTAACACTAGTAATCTATAACTTGAATGCATTCAGACCTGTAGCAGGCTGTTGCTGCTGAGAAAGTGTGGCAGCCATGGCAACGGCTGCTGCATTTGGTATGTTGCTGAAAGGGGTTGGTCCAGTAATAACACGTGGGGCACTTTGCCATTTCTTAGCTTCTGCTCGTCTTGCCTCAAACACATCCATAGCATCTCCCAGAAAGGTTTTTCTATAGCCAAGGTATTGGTCTTTGAGCATCTGAAAGAGAAGGAGGGGGAAGTCATTTTAGTTCAGTACATCTGAGGTAAGCACTGAATAGTTTAGTCATGGGGCAAGTTAACAGTTAAATACATTTTAATATAATTAAATAAACATTTTTCATATTAGTTTAGGGGTGTTAAACTCATGATTTGGAGAGGATTGAATTAATTTTCTGACTACATGTTACCTCCAATCTGGAGCTAACCACAGATGTCAACTAAAAGACTTTCCACACAGATCGAGGCCAAATCCTCAAGTGGTATAAATCCATATAGTTGCACTTGATTTACATCAGGGCAGGATTTGGTCCCAGGTAGAATATAATCTTTATGTGGTAACAAAAATTAAATATCTTATTTTGGCATTCAGTAACATCGAGTGGGAAAACATGCAGAACTTCAGAATTCTCTATTGCTGCCCTTTGCTTTCTTTGTTTTTTTCCCCTCTTCCCTATGTTTTTCCTTCTTTCTGTACTGAAGGAAATACAGCATCTCCCATTTCCCAGTCCTGTTGGGATTCACTCCCACCCCTCCCCCATTTCATCTGCTCAAGCAATCAATAGAGCCTTGCACAGATACAAAAAGGTGTATCCGCAATTCGCAAAAATGGTCTGCAGGTATCTGCGTCACATATCCACAGATTTGCTGGACTCTAAACAGCTCCATAGGTCACTTCGCAGCAGTGATGCAGGGCTGTGTCAAGCCCCCAACTGCCCCTTGCCCCCAGTCCCACTTTTCCCCAGACTTCCTGCCTTGCCACCCACTCTGCCCCACCATACCTCCTTCCCCACTCTGGGCAGGGAGGCTACAATTCTGGGGCCTTCTATGCAGTGCCGCCCTCCCCGTGGAGGACTCGGACACCCCTATGCCGCACCCTCTAATGCATGCAGCCATTGCCGCCTGCTTATTTAAAGAACAACCCCACCCTCAAAATGGTGCTTGGCTCACTCCCAATAGGGAGTTGTAGTTTACTTCCTTCCTTCAAGCAAGCTGGGGACAACAACTCCCAGAATGCCCAGCACGCTGTTGCATGATTCAGAGAACTGAGCTACAGCCTGCAGGCTGGGTGACAGCCGCTCTGTTCGGGTTAGCGTGTGCTGCAGAGCCCTGTGTGGATACAAAATTTGTATCTGCAGCCATGCTGTGATCTGAAAAAAAAAAAACGGTCTGTGGGTATCTGCATCTGTGGATACAAAGAGGATATCCGCGGATTTGCAGGGCTCTAGTGATCAGCAATTAAGCTGCTGGTCTCTCCCTCAGGGACTAGAGAAAAATGGCTCCTGAGCAGACCAGCTTCTGCCCTTTTAAATCTTTTAGCCCCTCCTTTATCATGTGACATCCCTGCCAGCTTCCCAACTTGAGCACAAACCCTTGCCACCTGATTTCATTGCCATGGCATCATCTCCCTTGACAAAAGGAGTTCTCCTGGGTATGAGGAGCTAGCCTATTGAGCAATTACATTTCAATGAAGAGCACTTCCGCACAATGACTATTTTGTTATGCTTTTACCACCGACCTCTGGAATCTCAACCCAACATTCAGGCAAGCAGATCACAGAGTAGGTAAAAGGCTGCACACTCAAAATGAAATTTACAGCCTGGCACACGAGTTCAAAAGTTGTACAGACATAGCCCCAATCACAACAAGGATATGTGAAATTTGAGGAATTTACACAATGTGAGAATTGTCTTACTATAGACTTCTCTACTGATCTAAAAAAATCTTTTTGTGGGTAAGAATGAGAATAGGCCATATTGCATACTTTTTTTGTGTGTGCAGAGGCTGTACTAGAGCCCTCCTTAAAGAAGCCATTGAATCTCAATCAGCAATGAACCCAGAATGCTGTTCTCAACAGAACACCCAAGGGCTATTTTGCAAAATTACTTTATAACTGGAAAGCGGTATCTTCCCCTGATTCTGCTCATATTCAACTAACTCATTTTTTGCTTGAATTGTCAAACAAAAAAATAAATAAATAAAAACAAACACTCATTAGGCAAACAGCAAGTATAGAAAATGTCAGCCCCCAAAATTTCAGAAAGTTACGAGCAATTGAAGAGACAGTGGAATAAAGGGAAAATATTATGTAACCTTAAATACAGTGGTCACAGCTTCTGCCACTTTTATAATAGTGGTTTAAGCCAGCCTATCGCACTGCTTGAACATCATATGTTCCAGCTCTCACATCAGAGAATGAACTTTTTATTTAGCAGCATCACTTTAAAAAGCTTAAATGAATAGTTTAAATCAACTCTGTTTAAAAACAGAAAGGAGAAGTGTTATAGAAATGTTGACATGAATAATGGCTTGCAGCATTTTTGGTTATGAAATACATATGAAAATATTATTCTTGAAGTAGAACCTACCTTTACATTTTCATGTATTGATTGAAGTTGTGCTGCTAGAGCTACAAATGTTTGATAAATTTTCTGCATAGCCATAGACAAATCTGTAAAACATGTATATCAGCAAATAAATTCATAGTCTTACTGCAATATTGAGACAAAATAATTAATTTATACTGCAACAAGGGTAAAACAACCAGCTCTATGATGCAACTTGCTGCAAACCTATGAAGAAAAAACAAAAACAAAAAAAGCACTATATTTCCTGTAAAACAAATGGAGCTGTGTGGGAATAAAGTAATATTTTCTATTTAAAGAGGAGTCTGGACTTATTAACAAGTGAACGGACGACAGAATTTCGGAATGATATTCACAAAATTTTGCCCATTTCTCCTCTTACTTGAATTTCACCTGCCCAAATTTTAACTCTATTGGACCAGTATGTCTTGCCAATACTAATAAAAGATACATCAAAAGGAGCCAAATTTTCTTGTATTTGGGAATGCTTATTTAAAACTCAAAATTTCATGACTCTGAATATTCAAAGTTCACTAAAAAGTTAACCGCTCATGATGTAGCCACAGAGGAGGCCCTCAATTCTGCATGTAGTTCCAAGACATGACTAGATACAACCACTGGTCCAATGTTAATTTAGCTCTGTTCACAGGGGCACTCTTCTCAGTAAGCCAAAAAGGTCAAATAAGTAGGATAGCTGTGTTTTTGCATAACATTTCAGATGCAGGTCTCTTCCGGAACAAAACTGAAATGCTTTCAGTGTATCCACTTGGTGCAAGTCCCAAGATAGAATTGAAGTGGGAATTCAGGCCCCAGGCTTCCTGTCAAGTTGTCTGAGCTGGTGCTTAAGTTCCTAAAACTTACTGTATTGGGTGACTTCAACATCCATATGAACAATGATTTCTGAAAGTTAACTAAGGAATCCTGATACTTTACTCTTTAACTAACTAATATGCATGTCACACACACACACACACACTAAGGATTTCTGTAAAAACATTAAAATTGAACTTTTTACCTTGTGGAGTTATATGTGAATTGTTTGCTTGAGTGGCAAGATGATTTTCGAGTTCTTCAATTTGCTGTCTGTAGTGCTGCAGCTGTACTTCAAACTGTTCAACCAAGATCCTGAAGTAGCTAGAATAGAAGAATCAGATCACACTTGTTGAATTTCCCTCCTTTGCAACTTCATTTTTACTATTTAGGTCTACACCAATTGCAGGACTTATCAATATCATTTTAAGCAGTTGTCAGTATTCCAGTAAACCTATTTTATATTACTCTTCTTCCAATGCTAGAGAAAGTGTGTTTCCTTTGTCTGAAGGTGATGTATGAATCTGTTAAGATTGATTTTTTTACTGTTTCATTTGTTCAGTAAAACATGCAGTAAATGCAATAAGGTATAGAACAAAATGTTAAAACAGTTTACCATAAAAGAGAGTCTTTACAGTTCACATTTTAAAGGGAGACAACGAGTACTAAATGAAGATGGTTTCCTCTCCACTGCTGGCCAATGTAGGGGATAGGATACCATGTTTCAATCCTCTGATGCTGGGTCAATTTGTGATTTTAATTATTTAATGTGTTATGTTTTTATAGCTATACTTAAATATTGTTATCAGATGCCTCTATCAAAGGAGCAATAGATTACACATTGCAACATACAAATCTATTTATAAGACAGATAGTAATGCATTTTTGATGGTTAATACAGGTTTCTGTTAGATACAGTAACTTACTCTGCTGGGGCTGAATTTTCATGTTGAAGACCAGGAGGAGTTTTCTGTGTTCTTAATGCTATTTCTGCATTCTTCAGCTCCTAAATAAGCAAATGAAGTGAATAAAAAAAGGACCACATGCTATAGTTCTATAAGAAAGATGAATTCTGAAGAAAAAAAAATCTAACGCTACTACTTCTTCACAGAGGGCTCTTTCCTTGGATGTGTTTTTGGCATGCAGTGTTTAATGTTAAACCTTCAGGCACGGATGCATAAATCTGGAAAATCTCTCATTTAGAAAACCTGAAATGTCAGGGACTAGGGTTGCCAAAGACATATATTTTAAGATGGGCAGGCCTTTAACACAACACATAGCAATGCTGAAGAGGGAACAATTGGTTTAATTTTCCTGAAAGGGGATTCAGTTTTCAAAAGTTTAGGAAATCCTGTACTATACTATCACAACTAAATTTTAATTTCCACTTCATCTAAAATAATTTTAATTTTTTTTCTAGACTTCAATAGGGAAGATTAGAGGAATGGGAGGAAATAGCACACCTAAAAGGAAGAAACAAGGGAACAGATTACCCAATTGTCTATTTTTAAAAGAGCATAGCCAGTAGTTTACAATTTATTTATTTATTTATTTTTAACATTTCCACTAAAGCCTTCCTGACGGCCTTCCCAGAGTATTATAATCACAGGATACACACTTCTGTGATTTGACTGTAGTACCTTCTAATAACTGTAGTAATAAGAATTTCTCGTTATCTAGTTCTGTACTTGTTTATTCTTAGCTGTTTTGACTAGTCAACATCTGAAAACACATGCCCGTGGAAGCAGAAGAAAAAAATGGTCTTCACTGTATTCTTCTATGGGAACATACCACTGAACTTCTAGAAACCACTATTATTTTATTAGTTGAAGAAAGTACTTTATTACAAGGCATAGGACTAGCATCATTTTCACTTTAGAGTACAAATCACATGTAGACTGGTTTCATAAGAACGGCCATATTGCATCAGACCACTGGTCCATCTAGCCCAGTATCCAGTCTTCAAACAGTGGCCAATATCAGATGCTCCAGAGGGAATGAACAAGGCAGGACAATTAATGAATGATCCATCCCACCATCCAGTCCCCGCTTCTGGCACTTAGAGGCTTAAGGACATCCAGAGTATGGGGGTTGAGTCCCTGACCATCTTGGCTAATAGTCATTGATGGACCTATCCTACAGGAACTTATCCTAATTCTTTTTTGAACACAGTTATACTTTTAGCCTTTAAACATCCTATGGCAGTGGTCCCCAACGCAGTGCCCGCAGGTGCCATGGCGCCTGCTTGGACATCTGAGCGCACCGGCGTATTGGCCGGCGAACGAGCATCCGACGAAATGCCGCCGACAAGCAGCCTCATCCAGAGCCGTTGCCGCCAAAAATCAGCAGCGACGCCTCTGGATGATGCTGCTTGTTGGTGGTGACGCCTATTGACGTTGCTACTTCTTGGCGGATGCTCATCCGCCGGCCACAGTCCGTGGTAGCTCATCGTCTGGCATCCGCCCGACAAAAAAGGTTGGGGACCACTGTCCTATGGCAACAAGTTTCCCAGGTTGACTGTGCATTGTGTGAAGAAGTATTTTCCTTTTGTTTTAAAACTGTCGCCTATTAATGTCATTGGGTGACCCCAGGTTCTTCTTGTGTTATGTGAAGGGGTAACTAACACTTCGCTATTCACTTTCTCCACACCTTTCACAATTTTATAGATCATATTCCCCCCCGCCCCCCATGATCATCTCTTTTCCAAGATGAACAGTCCCAGTCTTTTTAATCTCTCATATGGAAGCAGTTCCATATCCCTACTCATTTTTGTGGCCGTTCTCTGTACTTTTTCCAATTCTAAACTATCTTTTTTGAGATGAGGCAACTAGCACTGGTATGGGTGTATCATGGATTTATATAGTGGCATTTATGATATTTTCTGTCTTATTATCTGTCCCTTTCCTAATGGTTCCTAACATTGTTTGCTTTTTCGACTGCTGCTGCACATTGAGCAGATGTTTTCAAAGAACTATCCACAATAACTCCAACATATCTTTCTTGAGTGGTAATAGCCAATTTAGATCCCATCATTTCATATGTGCAGTTGCGATTTTTTCCCCAATGTACATTACTTTGCATTTATCCACACTGAATTTCATCTGCCATTTTGTTGCTCCATCACCCGGTTTTGTGAAATCCCTTTGCAAGTCTTTACAGTCTGCTTTGAACTTAATTATCTGAAGTAATTTTGTATCATCTGCAGATTTTGCCGCCTCGCTGTTTACCCCTTTTTTTCCAAATAATTTATGAATATATTGAACAGCATCTGTCTCAGTACAGATCCTGGGGGGAGGACTCTGCTATTAACTTCTCTCCAGTTTGAAAACTGATAATTTATTCCTATCCTTTGTTTCCTGTCTTTTAACCACTTATTGATCCATAAGACAATCTTCCCTCTGATCCCATGACAGCTTACTTTACTTAAGAGCCTTTTGTGAGGGACCTTGTTAAAAGCTTCCTGAAAATTCTAGTAAATATATCCTGTGCATCACCCTTGTCCACATAGATTCATAGACTCTAGGACTGGAAGGGACCTCGAGAGGTCATCAAGTCCAGTCCCCTGCCCTCATGGCAGGACCAAATACTGTCTAGACCATCCCTGATAGACATTTATCTAACCTACTCTTAAATATCTCCAGAGATGGAGATTCCACAACCTCCCTAGGCAGTTTATTCCAATGTCAGGGTGGTTAAACAGTTAGGAACTTTTTCCTAATGTCCAACCTAAACCTCCCTTGCTGCAGTTTAAGCCCATTGCTTCTTGTTCTATCCTTAGAGGCTAAGATGAACAAGTTTTCTCCCATCTCCTTATGACACCCTTTTAGATACCTGAAAACTGCTATCATGTCCCCCCTCAGTTTGGAAAAGAGAAGACTAAATAAACCCAATTATTTCAGCCTTCCTTCATAGGTCATGTTCTCAAGGCCTTTAATCATTCTTGTTGCTCTTCTCTGGACCCTCTCCAATTTCTCCACATCTTTCTTGAAGTGCGGTGCCCAGAACTGGACACAATACTCCAGCTGAGGCCTAACCAGCGCAGAGTAGAGCAGAAGAATGACTTCTCATGTCTTGCTCACAACACACCTGTTAATACATCCCAGAATCACATTTGCTTTTTTTGCAACAGCATCACACTGCTGACTCATATTTAGCTTGTGATCCACTAGAACCCCTAGATCCCTTTCTGCCATACTCCTTCCTAGACAGTCTCTTCCCATTCTGTATGTGTGAAACTGATTGTTCCTTCCTAAATATTTGCTGACACCCTCAAAAATCTTTAATAGATTGGCCAGGCATCATTTCCCTTTACAAAAGGCATACTGACTCCTCCACAACATACTGTGTTCATCTATGCAACTGATAATTCTGTTATAGTTTCAACCAATTTGCCAGATACAGGCCAATAAGCCTAATTTCAGTAACAGCCAGCATTTCCTCTGGTGACTTTTTTTAAATTGACACTACATTAGCTATCCTATAGTCATCTGCTACAGAGGCTGATTTAAGTGATCGGTTACATACCACAGTGAGTAGTAGCAAAGCAAGCAAAATCCTTAAGAGTGTAGTCGAAAATAAAGTGCTATAGGTCCTTTAACTCTGAATTTAAGAAAGTGCTAGCAGTGTTTACCTTGTCACAGTCCTCCCCAGATGAAGACTTAGACTGACAAGCATCCCACTTAAAGTTAGCTACATACCAAGTGTACGTTGTATAGAACCATGTCCAATTGCCAGACAAAGTGAAAACTATCTAAACCCTTGCGTTTGTTTACTTCATTGTTTTCTTACAACCTAGAACCTTCAGTGACTGAAAAAAATAGATACTAGTAAGCTGGGATTGAACAGACCACAAACTAGCCTGACAGCAAGGAAGTTATTTCTAGCTCTCACAACTGCTAATAAACAGGAGATAAGGTATTCCTGTGTCATTCCAGATTGATTTGAAAAGGCCACATTTAATAAAGTCTAATGTTTACAGTGATAATTAGATTTTATGAAATGTCAAACATGAAAGAAAATGCAGATTCAATTCATTTTGTTTGCTTCCACTTAGGATAATCAAAGCACGATTTCTAATCCGCTTCTATACTAAGAGAGACTGCCCTGCAGAAATATTTCTCAAGTGAGCAATATAAGAAGGTGACAAAATAAACTAGATCCAGACTTAAGTGCCATGCTTTTAATAAAGAAAATTCAATTTTTACTGCTGCTTTACTGACTTCGTAATTAATATCCCTACATCTGACTAGACAAGTGATTATAGGATTTCTATTTTAAGTGTTCTTCTCTTGGGAATCTCAGGGTACACCTCTACCCCGATATAACACGGTCCTCGGGAGCCAAAAAATCTCACTGTGTTATAGGTCAGACCGCGTTACATCAGGGTAGGGAGAGGAATTGCTTTTACCGCTCCCCGCCCCAGCTTCTTCCCCCACCCCCAGGCTTGCCACGCCAATCAGCTGCACCTTGAAGTCTATAAACCACAATTTGAGGACTACAATAGCTCAGACATAGGTTAGGGGCTTGATACAGGAGTGGGTGGGTGAGATTCTGTGGCCTGTGTTGTGCAGGAGGTCAGACTAGATGATCATAATGGTCCTTTCTGACCTGAAAGTCTATGATTCTATTTTCTGGTCAATATACAAATAATTTGAGCTTCTAATATTAGAGTGATTGACAGCACTGAATGCCTCTCACCTTATGTGAGATCATATGCTTACTGATTTGAGCTAATAAAACCATACTTGTTTGTTAACATACCTGTGCAGTTTCCATTTTCAATTTGTCAATATTAAGAGTGTTTCTCTGTAGTCCACTAGCAGCCACTGACAAAAGCTGTTTCAAAGCTTTAATATCCTCCTGTACTTTAAGCATTGCTTTGGAAGACATTCTACTAATTTCTTCCTGCACTTGTTTTTGTTCTTTCACAAATTTCCTGAAAAAAGTTGGAAGTAGAAGTTTAATTTGTTACATTTAAAGCACACAAATGTTCTACCTCTTGAGTACTGTTTTAATAAAAATAAAATTAAGCTTGATGAAATCCCAAACCACCAATACTGAGTGATAATTTCAGCGTTTGCCTCTTTTATAGAACTACAGTATACTATAATTTCACCATCCCCCCCAACATTCTAAAACTGGAACTTCAACAGAAGATATTTAGAAGGGTTATCTTGTACCTTCAAAAGATAAGCAGTGTATCCTCACTATCTAAAACAATGTTTAAAAGTGTGATTAAACCACTCATTACTTTAAAGCATGACAACATAATTATTTGGTTATCCCAACTAGTATAAGGAAAATACTTACTGGAGATTTTCTACATCTTGACAGATTAGTAGAGGTAGATTTTCATCCTTCAGTGCTTTACTATCTCTGCCAAAACATAACATATGCATTCATAGACACACAGTACTGCTAAACAATTTTACCCCATTACTAAACAGCCAAAGAGCTGTAAATATTCATTCTGCTTTTCACGTTTGTATCTAATTTATGAATGCTATAGTAAGTAATAATGATTTGAATTTCCTTTTATAAAACCAATTGTGAAGAACTGCACCAACTTACTTAATTCTTCACTGAGGTAAGATGGGTGAAGGAATATCTGATTAGATCAATTTCAGTGTTTTGCAAGAGTTTAATTTTACAGATGAGTATGATGAGATTTTCCAAAAACCACGTAATGAGTCTGCAAGAGAGTCAGGAACAGAGAGACCATAGGAGTCCTATCTCTGTTCTGAATGCCAGCTACTAAATACCACCTTCTACATGAAGCTAAACTAAGCAAATTTAAGGTTACATATGCCTCTAGACAGGGACTATGCCCCCTCTGCACCTGGAAAGCATCTAGCACACTTTTGGTGCTATTACAAACTAATTAGTAATAACCAGAAACATTGGATCTGTATTTTGTGGTTTATGGGACAGTGACCCCCTCTCCACCTATTTGAGTCCTACAAAATTTCATCAGAACAGTCAACTCCCATAATGTATTTAAAAGTGATAATTGCATCTTCACAGTATATAGGCATTTTTAAAGGCCAAAGAAAAAACAGGAGAAACATTTTAAAGCTTCACTATTTTCTAAGAACCTATAGAATGTAAAGAGGAATACTAAACATACTTACTCTGGTCTTGTTCCTGTTTTATCACCTAGAAGATACAGATAATTTTATATAAGAATTGATACCTTGAACAACTGTCAAGCAAAATAAGCCTTAAGAAGTTTTTCGGGGAAGGACTGATGACTATCACTCACCTCAGTGCATGTTGGCTCAGAGCATTAGGTCAGCCCCTTTGGAAGAAAATTTAATTGACTCTTCCCCTCCTCCTTCATTACAGGTTTCTATTCCCTGCCCCCCAGCACTTACAGTTTATCTTATTTAGACAGCATAACTGTGGTGCATGGCGCTTTACAGACAAGGATCTCCTGAACAGGAACGATGGTTCGGCATAGAGGGCACTACCCTGAGACTCTGGAAACTATGGCCCAATGCTTTGCTTCACCAGAGACCTCCTATGTGACCATAGGCGAGTCACTTTAAACTCATGAATAATTCTGAGGCACTCAGATATTATGGTAATAGGTAATTATATGGCTCTTAAGTGATAGGCCTCCTCCACATCTCCCACTGTACCAGTACACTCCTCTAGCAAAGTCTTCTTTCACAAAACATGCAATACATACCCTCCACCAGGGTCACAGAGCAATAGTTCAACAATATAAAACTTCTGCTGGCTCAAGTAAGATTCACAAAGGTGGATTTTATATGGTTTCTAACCTGCTATTCTACTATTTCAGCCTTTGGAATAGCTACCCTGAACAACTGCTCTTAACTACCCTCTCCCCCAAAAAACCAAGAGATTACTCAACTATAATGTGAACACTGAAGAAAATGCATCATCTTTGCTTTAAGATTCTGGGAATAACTAGTTTAGCTAGTGTCTGACACGGGAAATGGAAGACCAAACCCCCTTAATGTATGCTCATATCAACACCATAAACCTTACTTACTACTTGGCAAAAAGTGTACTGTAACCACTAATGTACTTTTTTGTAATTGCTTTTGATATAATATTTTATTAAGGAATTATTTTAAAAGTATATTACTGTAAAGTATTAGGAAGACAATAAGAAGATTACAGACTATTTTAATCAACTTTGAAGGAGAATTACATAAACCCCAAATGATTAGAAATGCTTCCATGACTTTTAATATTCATTGTAATGAAAGAAAGTTGCTTTCAAACAGGTTCTTTGCATTTGTAACACACACTTATAGTCTAGCGCTATTTCCCCCGCACTCCCAAGTGGTCAGAGTACATGTGGACATGTGCGAGCCTGACACAGCCTTTGAGGCAACAGACCTGTAGAGATTCATACTTTAAGACTCAGAGATCCCAAGTTTGATCCTTGCTGCCAACAATCCACCCAGAGGCATTGCATTACACCAAGTTTGCAAGCTGTTGCACTGTATTTATGTAGAAGAATCTACAAGTTAAAATAGTTGAAAACTTAGTCAAATTGCCACAGCAAGAGAAGTGCAAAGAGTAAATTACTATTTTTCTTTTAGAGAGACAAGGTGGGTGAGGTAATATATTTTATTGGACCAACTTCTGTTGGTGTGAGAGAGAGAGAGAGAGAGAGAGAGAGAGAGAGAGAGAGAGAGAGAGGCTTTTGAGACACACAGAGCTCTTCTTCAGGTCTGGGAAGGTACTCCCAGCGTCACCGCAAAATGCACATATTGTAAGGGACTATTCAAGGTACCATGGCCTGTTAACACCTCTGCAGTTATAGAATAAAAAGAGTAGGTTAGGTGGTTCAGATCGTAGTAATAAGCCATAAATCTAGTGTTCAACCTGTGATTTTTAGTGTCTAGCAGCACTTCCTCAGGCTTCCTAATTTCCCCGAGGGTGCTTGACCCGCCGTTCCGCCCCAAGGTCCAACCCCCACTCCACCCCTTCCCCTAAGGCCCCACCCTACCCCTTCCCGCCCCCTTCCCTGAACATGCCCTTGCTCCACCCCTCCCCCCCCCAGCGCCTCCTGCACACCTTTGAACAGCTGATTGTGGTGGACAGGAGACATTGGGGGGAGGAGCTGATTGGCGGGGCCCGACAGTGGGCACTGAGTACCCACTATTTTTTTCTGTGGGTTCTCCAGCCCCAAGCTCCCACCGAATCAGTGCCTATGTCTAGCAGAGTAATGAATTTAAGCCCTCTAGCTCATCTTTTGAACGGTTCCTTACAACATGTACTAACTACATATACTAAACAATCTGTTCCACCATGCAGTTTACTGTGATGCTGGGAGTACCTTTCCCAGACCTCAAGAAGAGCTCTGTCTCTCTCACCAATAGAAGTTGGTGCAATAAAACATTACCTCACTCACCATGTCTCTTGAATGTCCTGAGACCAAAATGGCAACAACTACATTGCGTAATTTCTTTTTTAACTTTATCAATCTTAAAACAACCCTTGATTATTAAAGACATTTTTAAAATACTTTATTTTTATGGTGTCCATTAAGAGTTAGAAAAACCAAGCCATCAATGCCTCCTCACTTACATCTTTCAACTAAGTGCTTTCAAACAGAATTTTTATAGTTAAGTATTTTGCAAGGTTTCATAAAAATTACAGAAAAACAATATTGTATCAATAACTTACTCTTTTTATCTGAAGAGCTACTAAAATCTATGCCACCAAGACCTTCATTAACAGTAGTTGAAGGAGCAGAAGTCGTCCCCAGAGTCAAACTCAGAGCATTCTGTCCGAGTCCTACAAATAACCCAAAAAAGTATTTCAGTAACACATAATTTAGTGTTTTAGCTTCAATATATTGTGATTAGATTTATGTATGTCATCTTGTTTTCAGGATTTGTTTAGCTAAAATAATGTAAAGAGAAGAAGAAAAACAATTTATTCTATGAACTAAATGTTCTAAATATCTAATTTTAACATCTTTACCTGCCTCATCACTTGCACCATCACTGCATATTGTGTCATGTTACCTCACTCAGGATTAATACATTATTTTTCAACAGTACTTCCACACAGTGAAAGGAGTGTGCAATATCCACTTAATTGCATTTTATATGCAAGATTGCATTGAATGCAATGCAAAGCAGCCAGCATTGAAAATTTGAGCCATTAGTCTTTCCTATGGCCAGTGGCCAACAGACAGCAATTGACCAGAGTTTACAAAAAGATCTTGTTAGTTTCACAGAGGCCGTCCCCAGCTCTCTGAGAAGCAGTGAACAACATTCTTATAAACATCACTTAGCAGCTAGCCATTTCCTACAGCTGACGATTATTTTGGGGGAGTGTGAACAGGAGGGTGACAGTGGGAATCTCTCATCCCCGTTTCTATAAGTTTTTTGGAGAAAGTAACGATTTGAGGCATTTCTCCAAGTAGCTAGGAAAGGGTATGAAAAGATCTCACCTTCCCACATCAGCCAAAGGAAGAAAGTAAAGCTCTCCATTCCATACAGCAACTACACTAAGTATTTCAGAATAGAGAAAATGAATTCCTGTATTTTTACAACCCCTGCACACTGGAGGCTCAAGCCTGACTAAGGTCACAGGGCACTACTGCAATATAATAAAAAGAGGAAAAATACCATATTTATTAGACACCTAAGGCCAATATGAAAGATTGGAGTGCTCCTCACTCCACCCCACACTGGATCCAGGAACAGCACCCTCCCTTTTAACAGCAGAGGATAGAGGGGTATATACTACATTTTTCTCCAAGCTGTTGTCCCTGGACATCAGAGCTGGAGGGAGTCCCGATCTAACAAAAGGGATTTAAAGTTACACTACTGTAGCTCAAAGGTTTTCTAAATTCACTCACAAAAATCACTGCTAAAACAAGGGACCAGTGACTATTTTATACTAAGAGTTCTCAAAGCATTTCATAGTGCAAACCACATTATTAATGAAGAGATTATTTTATAGAACACCTCCCCTTCCATTTATGATCACGTAACACCCCTATGGCAGCTATGGTAACTACTTCATGGAATACTCCTGAGGGAATTCTGTGCCAAAAAATCAAGAATTCTGCACATATTTTAAAATCCTGCAAAACTCTGCACATTGTCAATAAATAAATGTGGAGGCTCCACCATAGCAGTAGGGAGCACAAGCCACTGACTGCACAGAGGTGGGAGATAATCCTGCCCTCCCACTCACCCTCTGCCTGGAACATGGACTTGGTGGTAAAGCTGCACCCAACCCTGACACACTGCAAGGACCAGGCCTGCCCCAGAAACACCCTGGGGCCCTGCTCCTCTGTGCCAAGCACACTAGATGTAGGCAGGCAGGCTTATCCCAGTCAGATCTAAGTATGGAGGGGCTTAGTGTGAGGAGATCAAGGTGTTAGATAATAGGGTTCTGTGTGGGGCAATCTGGGTGCAGGGGCAGATCTGGATGAACTGGGGTGCAGACACAATGGGACTCTGCAGGGGAGTCCAGGTGAAGGTGGTTGGGGCTCAGCAGGGTGGAGGTCTGGGTGTGAAATGCTCAGTAGGGGGGTCCAGGTACTGGCTTGGTGGGATTCAGTGGAGCAGGGATTTGAGTGCAGGGGGCTAGTCAGGGTCACCCAGGTGCAGATGGGGTGGGGGTTCAAGTGCGGAGAGTGGTCTCAGTGCAGGGGTGGAGTCCAGCTGCAGGGAAGTGGGGCTTCGCAAGGCGGTCTGAGTGCAGGGGGGCTCTGGATGCAAAGAGTGAGGCTTGTTAGGGTGCAGTTTTGGGGGGAAATCAGTGAGGGGGTTCTAGGTGCAGGTGGTGAGGTGATCTGGGTATGAGGTGGGTCCGGATGCACGGGGGTTGGTCAGATGTGGGAGCCGTCCCCCCTCGCCCCTCCCTCCCCCGGCTGAGGAGCGATGGGGGAAGCAAGTGGGGGAATTATGCAGAGATTCCTGCAGTCAGTGAGTTTTCTGGGGGTGGGTCTGACCCAGCTCTGGCTGCTCCCTGCAGAGGAAGAGAAAGTTCTGTCCTCCCCAGCCCAGCTGGGACGAGCAGCTTAGCCTGGCACAGTGTAGGAGCCACTGGCTGGAGCACCCCCAGCCCTTCAGTGATTTACCTCTCTGCTGGCTGCTCCGGGCACCCAAAACAATACACCTGCACTGCTGGGGAGTGGCGCATGACCACTCTTGTGGCTTCCCTTTGCTTCCCCATCAGAAAGTCATTTCTCTGCGGGGAAGCAAAGAAATCTGTGGGAGACATGAATTCTGCACACGTGCATTGTTGCAGAATTCCCCCAGAAGTAATGGAAGAATACTTACATTCTTGCAGAAAGCTGCTAAAGTTAAATTAATTTAAGGTGGAAGAAGTAGAATATTTAGATGGTAATTGTATTGTCTGGTATTTTATGACTTGTTAAAACCAGTAACATTCAGGGAAAATGCAAAAGTTTCAGAGGGAATTATTTAAGTTTTATAGTAACCACATGGTGTTACTTGTGTTTCAGCATTTTGAAATAGAAGTGGGAAAAGAATAAAACTATTTTCACCTGTTGCTGCTGTGGTTGCATTCTGGAAGAGTGTACCTCCCAAACCAGCTAAGGCTCCTCCCAGTGAAAGGCCTGTGGATGCACTTGTAGTTGGGGCAGCTGTCCCACCCAAATTTAATGTAAAGCCAGTAGAACCTGAAGTTAAAAGAAAGAATGAAACCATCCTTAATACATGGACTGTACAGTCTGCAGACAGCCTAAAATAATTACTTACAGGTGTGAACTGCCTCATTCATCATAAAGGAGAGTTAACACTGAATGAAATCTGCAGCAATAAACTAAATTTAATATCATCACTAGGGCCCTACCAATTTCACGGACATGTCACAGACCGTGAAATCAGCCCTTCCCCATGAAATCTGATCTCCCCTGATGCTGGGAGCCTGGAGCTCCTAGCTGCTAGTCCAGCCACGCTTGGGAGGGGCAGGAGTTGTCCTTCCCCTGCGTGGCTGCTACCAGAATCAGCACAGAAATGAGGGTGGTACACCCTCACTTCTGCGCTGCAGCTGCCCAGACGCTGGGCTCTGGGCTTCCATTCTCCCTCTTCCCTCCCCACAGCTCCTGCTGCAGCTCTGAGCGCCGAGCTCTTGGTTTCCTCCCCCAGTATCTCCTGCCATGCTGGGGGCTTCTGCTCCTGGCAGCTGCAGCCGGAGCAGCCTGGGCTCGGAGCCTCCCCCTGGTCCAGTCAAGGATTGGGGCAGCCCCACAGTCAAGGCTCTGGGCTTCTGCTCCCGGTCCCCCCAGCCAGGTCAGCCCAGAATCAGGAATTCTGCCCCTCCTCCCCCTACCCCCGCGGCTCCGAGCTTCCTCCTGCAGCAACGCTGGCAGGGGGCTTCCGCGCCTGCTGGCTGCAGCTGAGATAGCCCATGCTTGGGGCTTCCACCCTGCCCCTGCCAGGGCAGCCCGGGCTCAAGGCTTCTGCACTCTCCACCCCACTCCAGCCAGGGCTTGGGGCTTCTACCCTCCTCAGCAGATGCAGCACCCCTGCTGCTCCAGCCCAGTCTCAGGGCAGCCTGGACTCAGGGATTTGGCCTCCAAGCCATGGTTTGAGGTACCACCCTGGGGTGTCTTCTGGGGCTGGGCACCCATTTTTCCAGGGGGCCCCTTCCTTAATTGGTCACTGGCCTGGACTAGCAGCTAGGAGCCCCTGGCTCGGGCATTCCTAGCAGTATGGGGGAAGATCCTACCCACCTCCACGAACCTCCTCTAACTGCAGGAAGCTCTGAGGCTGCTGCCTAGTCAGCACAGAAGAGAGGGTGGCAATCTTGGGACTGCCACCCCACCCCCCTGCCCCAACAACTATGCAATCCCCCCATAATCCCATTTTGGGTCGGAACCCCCACTGTTACAACACTGTAAAATTCCAGATGTAAACATGTGAAATTGTCCAATTTACAAACCCGCTGGCTGTGAAATGGACTGTGAATTTGGTAGGGCCCTAATCATCACCAACAGGGGGAAACTGTACTGACTGTAATATTCATTTAAAAATGTAATTCAATCAAAACGTCCTTTATTCAAGTTTATTTGAAGCTACCAAAAATTTTTAAGAATTTCCACTAGAATGCTGCAGAATCTGACAATTTAGGCACTGGTTGCTGCAAATTAAGTGGAATCTTGGTCTTAGTTCTGCATGTAGGTGAACATGATTAGATCCAGCTGAACATCAAAGTATCTCACATAGTAGAGGCTAAAAACAACAGCTAATTGTGACTTTAAAGCTTCTACTTCAATGGATGATTTGAGTTTTTGGAGCAGGCAGAGAATAAGAGGTGGAATATTGTGGCATCTTGACAAACGAGAATGTGGGAAAGTGTGATCAACAGCTTTGGTGTACACACACACATACGGTTAGCTGGTGTAGCTGGCCTTTCAATGAACACTTGATTATGGAAAATATGGTTGTGTAAACTGCATATATGGAGCAGGTGCCAACTACATATTAGTATGTTAAGCATGGGACATCTTACCAGAGGTACATATTCTCCATCATGCTTTAACAGTACCAAAACCATTTGTCTCATTGACAGTAGACATTAACCATTTTCAACATGATGCCCTTTCTACACTTGGGAGATCATTTTTTAAAACGATTTCCCACCACTGCCAACACAATTGAGCTCCACTGGTATTGGCAACATTAGAAACTCTGGTGTAGATGAGACATCACCTATAACTACCAGATGATGTGGTGCTTAAAAGAAACTCTGAGCATTTAATCAATATTGGGCTTAAAACAACGATAATACCTGCTGACCCATCTATGCTAGGATTCCTAACAAACACCAGTGAAGCTCAACCAGTCACTTAAATTCTGTGTTTCAGATTAGTCCCATGTAAAAGGCAGGCAATGACAATATGAATAGTAAGGATGCTCATCTATTTCAGACTGCTTGTAAAGTACTTTGATATGCCTGAATGCAAAATGCAGCACGGAGTACAAAATAGTATTTCCTTACCTGCTGCAGGAGTTGATGTAAGAGCAGAAGAAAGTGAGAGGCCACCTGCTGAGGTAGAAGTAATAGGCAAAGCAAATGGTGTGGCCGATCCTGCAGGTTTGTTGAACCCTAAACTAAAACCTGTGGTAGAGGCTGATGTAGCGGCAGGAGCTCCTACAACAATGAACATCATTCTTAAGACATTTTGTTGAGGCATAAATGCTCAAGTTAACATTTTTGTCACCAGGTGTCATGCATTCTAAACACCAAAATTTTAAAGTAAACTTATCACCCTCAAAATGAATTTTACCAATTAAATGCCATGACAAAGACCTTGAAGGAATCCCACATTTTGGTTTGGTTCCTTTCTACACAAGGAAGACAATAAGATTATGTATAAAAGCTGATCACAGCATTTCCTCTCTTCAAATAGGAAGGTCCACAGATCTTACAATGGGCCTTGTTTATTTGTATCTGTACAGTCAAAACCGAGACCTGTCAGTCACTGGCTGAGGGATAATACCCTTCTGCTGAAGAGGGAACTAGCTGACAACTGTCAGAGATGTAATGAAAATTGTGTCCTTCTCATTTAAATTGAGAGTTAAATGTTATTCATTTATCTCTTGAGTAGTGATCCTTCTATTAAATCAGGATGGTTTGGTCATTACTACTTGAAGAAAGGAAGTTTTACTGTTCTTCATAAAAGGAAGGTCCTCAGAATCCCACAATGGTAATCCATCAGCATGTAGCTATGAAGAGAAATTAACTTAACATATAAGCAAACTCAAATATGCACACAGATTGTTTTGATTTACTGACATACTTATTATGTCCTGCAACATTATAATCCCAAATACAGGACTGAATGAGACTTACTTCAAAGCGGATATGCATTTTGATACAGAATGCAGGGAGGGACACGAATCCATGTGGCAGATTTCTTTAAATTATGGATCCACCCAGAAAACTGCTACACCTGTTCAAGTGTGCTCAGCACAGATAAGGTAAATTCTTTGACTTGTATTTGTTGTCCCTTACAGTTAGAATACAGTAGACCCTTGCTAGAACGCCCTTCGCAATAGTGAAACTTGGGCTACAGTGAATGCAGTTGCTGGATCCCACCTCCGGCCCTGAGGCTGCTAGAGGAACACTGTCAGCTCCTGCAGCAGCCCCGGGGCTGAAGGAGTACTCTGCCCCAGACACGGCTGGAGAATCTCTTCCTCTCCCCCACCCTCCCATCACTAGAACAAATCCCTGGATATACCGAAAAAATGGCTTGGATCCCCAGGGCTTTGTTACAGCGAGGGTGTACTCTACATGCTTCAGTTTTGTCTAGATATTTCAGTGCTGCACAGACATCAGGATGTAAAAATCCATACAGAATGGAAAGGAGTGCCATAGCTTTTCCATCAGTCATGTAGATTGTACGTGTGATTGTAGTAGAGTAACATATGGAGCAGACTTTAAGGATGAATGTCAAGATCATACAAAAAAAATTATAATAATAAAAAACACGGTGCCTGTCCTTTATAGGCAGAACTCCCAAATCCAGTATTTGCTTGGCTGAAAGAATGACTTGGTAAGAAGGTCCACCAAGTGTTCAAAGTGTGGTCATGTGCAGGGCATACAGCACCAGGTTAGAGTTCTGTTGAAGTTTATCTGAGAAGCGGATTGAAGAAGTTTTAGTATATAGATGGAGAGATTCTTCCCTCTGGACACCCCTACATGGGATACTTTTAATGTGTGCCTTAACTTGGGCACCTTTAAACTCATAGTGAAACAGTCCTGATGGAACTCTAGTAGGTTCTCTATTTTTGTCAAACTTGCTGTAACTACTTACTGAACATCAGCTTTTAGGTTTTAGTCAGATTATGGAGCACACTAAGTTAGTGAATTTATTTGGAAGCATAGAGATTTTCTGCCCAAATATAATTCCTTCAGTTGCTTCCTTTCAAATGCCAGGAAGACAGCTTTATTAGGTAACACGATGGGACCGTATGTATATAGGTCCTTTCTGAAGGGCAGGAGCATTTGAGATTCTATCTAGGTTCTTATAGTGGGCACACCTCATTGTCAGACCAGGTTTTAGTGTCATGTTATTAGGTCTGACAATCATACTCTCTGCAGCCAGTATGATGCCACCAGAATCATTACAGCCCTCTCCTTAATTCTGTGTTGTTTAGGATAGAAACAGTAATGGCGAGAAGGTCTTTTGGCCAGGACTAAGGAAGCTAAACTTAAGTAACTGGAGGGTAACTGCCAGTTTGCCCAATGAAATGAGGGACTATTTCTCCGTACAGGAGAGGACACCACTTCCAAACACGTGTTCTAGGGATCATGCAGTCTGTTCTGGAGGTGATTTTCCCTTGATTTGTTCTATCTTCCTCTATTACACTGTTCCTCTTTCATTGAACTTGTTCACAGAACAGCATCAAAACTGTCTGATGCTAGAATACGATTGTATCCCCTTTCATGCTGTTCTGAATGGTGGTATAGCTTACTTTAATTTCACCCAGGACTCAGCTGCTGCTTTGGGCGAGGAGCTATTTTGCTTTGCTATCTGCCTTTCAGGAATAGGTACCCTTACACCTGTATTTCTTGCCATCACCGTGACTGAGAAATATGGAATATTTAAAGAAGCATCAGAGAAACAATGAAGGTAGAAATACCTTCCGAAGGCTCCTTCCCAGCTCAACACTTTTTGTCTGTCCATCAAAAGGAGTTAGAGAACAAGTCTGTTCATGCCAGGTTCACTCAAGAGAAGGGTAGGCAGCAAATTTCTTTTTTAACAACAAAATCACTTGTCTTTCTATTGGAGACTCCATGGGGATCTGAACCTACAAACTTTGAATCCAATATTATTTCACCTGTTTCCTTTCGCACCCTTTGTCTAACTTGTCTATTTAGACTGTCAGCTCTTTGGGGCAGAAAATATACTGTGCCCAGAACAATGGGCCCCAACCTAACTAGAATGATAATATTTGTTGATTTCAGTTTACCAGTGCAAGTTCGTCACCAAAGACAGTAATATCACTTGAGGTGAACAAGCTAACACCTTTCAGTCATACTGAATGGAAGGCCAAAAGACAGCTTTCCACAACCAAATGGATCTTGACACTGAATGAAGAAACACTGAATGAGACAGTGCTCTCTTTGTGCATGATCCACAGAGGCAATATGCATTCACATAAACATTATACAATAAGTGGTTTATCCACGCAGGAAGTCAACAATTTTAGGTCTTGAAAGGATTCTGTACTCCCTCAACTGTGTAGAGGCAGCAGTTCTGCTGGAGAACACCAGAGTGGATATTGCCATATCTAAGGTTGATAGATGTACAATAAACTTTGGTATGGGAAGGAACCATCGCTAAAAGAATATCTGTGAAGAAACATGAATGCTTCCCTGAAGAGCCTCAATCTGCAAAAAAAACAAAACAAAACAAAAAAACCCCAAAACTCTCTCTCTATATCTCTCTCTATCTCAAACAGCATTGACATGGCTCCTAAATTTCTGGGGCCTGCTGAGCTTTAAGGATGAGCAAATGTGAACTAGACAGAGCACCCATGTTCCTCAGTTCAGTGCACTTTGTTCCAAAACCACATATATAGCCCATGGCCTCATTAGTCTCAGCCAACAGTATATCAATCCTTCAAAACCAGTTTAAGCACACTGCCATAAAAAGAGCCAAAAGTTTCCTCATAACCATGTGTACCTGATCTCCCATCAATGGCAGCATTAAACCTGTGGCAACCACAATAATTCCTTACATGGAGAAATAGTAATATACTTTTAGCCGTCTTTAATATGAGGAGAACCCATGTCATGTGGCTACCAGGTCTCTGCCTCAGCAAGTGCTCACAGTACGAGAACAATGGGTCTAGAACAGTAGCTCTCAAACTTTTGTACTGGTGACCCCTTTCACATAGCAAGCCTCTGAGTGCGAACCCCTTATAAACTAAAAAGGTTTTTTTATATATTTAACACTATTACAAATGCTGGAGGCAAAGCGGAGTTTGGGGTGGAGGCTGATAGCTTGTGACCCCCCATGTAATAAGCTCACGACCCCCGAGGGGTCCCAATCCCCAGTTTGAGAACCCCTGGTCTAGAGCATATTTGTTTGTCTCCAAATACTAATAGCTTCTAAATATGTGGCTCTTACCCAGTGTTAATCCTGTAGCAATAGTTGTAGCTGTTCCTGCCAAGAAAAACAAAATAAAAATCCATAATCAACTTTATATCATATTTTACCAAGCTTCACACACACAATTTAGTAGTTGTGGAATAAGTTTTATAAAGTATTTTTGGACATAAAAGATTTACTCTGGTTTAGAATCTTAAACACAAAATAAGAATAGGTTTCAAATAAGTATTAGCAGTACAAACCCTCCTGGGAAAGCACAATTAACTTGTCAACAATGTACAGAACTCATTTGTGTTGAAGAGCCATTGGTAAATAGTGACTATGCAATTAAAATGCCAGTTAAGCAGTACACTACAATTTAAATGAAATTAAAGCCACTAAAAACACCAGAGTTTTTAAATGGGTTGAACTCCAGATTTACATGCTGTCAGGAATGCCAACATGCACAACAGTGTGGTTTTGCATTATAGTGGAAAGGATTATAGAGTCCATGGTCTACGCAGAATACTGGGTCTCAAATTAGTTTCTTCCCCATATAAATTTAAAATCATAATTGATCACTCATTACAGTTATGCAATTTCAGCTTCTAAGAAACTTACTTCTAATTCAATTAGAGGACAATAACTAATGGGGAAAAGGTGGAGGGATAGCTCAGTGGTTTGAGCATTGGCCTGCTAAACCCAGGGTTGTGAGTTCAAGCCTTGAGGGGGCCATTTAGGAATCTGGGGCAAAAATCTGTCTGGGGATTGGTCCTGCTTTGAGCAAGGGACTGGACTAGATGACCTCCTGAGGTCCCTGCCAACCCTGATAGTCTATGATTCTAATGGATCACTCAAACAGAGAGGCAAGCTAAGGGGATAATGCAACCCATATCATAGAATCAAAGAACTGGAAGGGACCTCGAGAGGTCATCTAGTCCAGTCCCCTGCACTCCTGGCAGGACTAAATATTATCTAAACCATTCCTGAGAGGTGTTTGTCTAACCTGCTCTTAAAAATCTCCAATGACATAGATTCTACAATCTCCCCAGGCAATTTATTTATAATATCCAATGATGTAACAATGTTACAAATATTCCCTGTAAGAGGTAACTTTAGACAATCACATTAGAGTGTATGAAAGAGACAGCATTCTCAAAAACCAACACAATTCACTAATATTAGCTATTGTGCATGTGTGATGGCCGATTTTAAAACGGTACAAGTTTTCTTCTGTACCCCTGTTAAATAACCCACAGAATGGTTTGTACAAGACTGAAGAAAAGGTCTCTCTTAGCCTGAGAGAGTACACAACTGCCCAAACTTAGAAAGGAAGTTTTGGCCAAATTATTATAAGCGCTTCATATTATCAATAAGAACTATAGCATTGTAAATGACAACATAGAAAATGAATGTGTTTATGGCATCTTAGCAATGATTTTCAGAATATCCTTAAAGACAAAGTACAGTACAACCTTAAACCCACACTGCACTGAACCCCCATATTGTATTCAACTGCAAGCTATAATCCACACAAAATTTTGGTGGCCTCTCCCAATCTCCAGGAAATATACAGGTAGATCCACATTTTAGGGAAGTCTTGTTGGAATGACCAAAGCCTCCGTAAAAATCAGTGTTTCATAGTATAAAATTCCAACTCCTATACAAAATTCATACACAGGACTAGATAAAAATTTCAGATGGCAAGTACATTCATCTATTAAAAGGTTCAGTTATCAGGGTTTTCTGTAATAGTAATGCTGTAATGCATTATTAAGATCTTATTTTTTAAAAGAGATAAGAGATTTACTAACAATATATATAGCTATAGTTAAAAACATTTCAGCACACTTTGTGGTGCATTAGTCTTCCTTTTTGTGTTTGTTCATTTACTAATTCATGAAACTCACAGATTATGCAAAAGCCCAAATTTCTGCTACATTAAAGGAATAAATTCACATGCATTTCCTACCTGTATTAGTACCTCCTAGAGCAAGCCCAGTGGTAGATTTTGAACCAAAGAGTCCACTTCCAAAGCCCACTGATGGAGCTGATGTAGTTGCTGTAGCAGTCGAGGCGCCCAAGTTTCCAAAATTAAGCCCTCCAGTTGAGCTATTACAAGACAATACTGACTATTAGCATCAATTATTTTGCAAACTAACCCATTTTATATGTCCATATTTGCAATTATTTCACCCGTTTCTTCCCCAAGCACAGCGAACAGGTCTCAGCCATTAAAACGCTACACCCTCTTTAAAAGTAAGTTCCAAAGTAATTGGCTTGTCAAGATATAGCTATCAAACTTTACTGCCAATAACCAAACCATCACAAAAGTGAATTTACTTTCAGTTGATCACTCACGGATTCTTAAACTCTAAAATCCTCACTTCCAAATTAAGCCTCCATTTTTGCAAGTCCAACTTGGAAACAAATTGTGCCCCCAATTCCTTCATATTTTTTTCCTGACAACTTACTGCACATCCCCACTTGTGAGCATATTCACTGAGTCATCAAAACTCAGTTTATAAATCAGGCCCTAATAAGCATTACAAAATAATACGGGTTTTTTGGTATTTACATTTTAGAAAGTGTATTGTTAGGAGCAAAAAAATCCTTAATGTAAAACAATAAGCTGCAGTAAATGTCAAAAGCACCAATAAGCAGAGGGTATTTCAGTACATCATTAATAGTATATAATATGTTACATACTAGTTAGGACATTAATATGCTTAAATTGTGTGAGACACCAAAGAAACTGTAAGGAAGTAGCATTGTAGGGTTCTCCAATGGGCTATACACAGTAATCCTTAGCAAGAGGGAAGGCCGCCACACACTGTGGAGAAGTGTACAAGCGCAGATATAGTCAAATGAAATTTGACTGCCATGTTCTCACTGAATCTTTAACTACACTAGGATGGTTTGTAAGCAGATTTCTGTACCAGTCCAGCTCCACCTGCATTCCCATTAATATAAGCCGTAATATACTCTAACCTGCAGGGGCTGGAGCTGCGCCAGTTCGTAAACAAAATTGTTTACACCTTTCCATATTAAGCCCCTCATTTCTACTGCATGTGGAGACCTATGGGACAATAATTCAACTCTCCTTAGAAACGTGCATTTTTTATTTTCTCTCTGGATGAACACAGAATTCAGATCTTGGATTTTAAATGCCAAGCCTAGGCCTTTGGGGGGCGGACTTGTTTGTTGCAGTAGCAGGGTACACAGTAGAGCGGAAAGGGGGTTTCCAGAATACAAATACTTGGTTACTGATTCCCACTTTTCCCTTTGGAGCATACGGCTGGACGGGACGTCGCCCCCGGCCCCCAAATGCAACCCCACACTTGCATTTGCGGACGCCACTTTCGATGAAGCCCGTTAGTCGCTCCTGCGCAAGCGGAGCCTGAGGGCGACTGGGCAGAAAGGGGCGTTTCATCAACCCCCCAAAGCCCCGAGCTACGGGCCTGCCTCCTCCGGAGCGCTCTGTCGCCGCTGCAGAGAAACCCCACCAGGCCCCCGAGTCACACACGACTCCCACCTAGGGACGGGGACACACGGAGCGGAGCGGCGCTGGCGGCCGGGAGGGGAGGCACGTGAAGCGCAGATGAGGGCCGAACCCGGACGCTGATGGGGAGGCGCTCCCGGGGCCCAGCTCCGCCTGCGGGGAAGCGGGGCCAGGATCAGAGACGTGGGGCCGCAGCGGGCAGGGCCCGATCGGGCGCTCGCCGCCCCACGCGGGAAGGGCCCATCCCGGGCCGGAGCAGGCGGGCGGGCCGCGGTTACCTCGGCTGGACGGCTCCGAAGGAGAAGCCTCCCCCGCCGCCGCCTCCCGCCCCAGCAGCGGCGGCGGCCGCGGAGCCCAGCGTGCCGGCCCCGAAGGAGAATCCCGCAGACATGGCGGCGGCGGCGGCCTCGGTCTCCCTCGCCTCAGCGCCGCATCGCTCCCGGGCGCCAACTTCAAACCGGGGCAGCAGGCGCGGCGAGTAACTCCCCGTCCCCACACGCAGCAGCGCAGCGACAATATCCCCTCCCCCCCGCCGCAATGCACCCAGGGATAGTGGAGGAGCCGGCTGCGCGCGGACTTTACTTAAAGGGACAGTAACGCCGGCAGGCAGCCAGCTGAGCCCTTCGCTCCGGGCGGCCGGGGCTCTGCTCCCCGGGTCACCGCGCAGGGCGCCTAGGGCCGGGGCAGCAGCAGCAACCAGGCCCGACTCCCTGTTTTTTTATTAGCTGTCCCAAGCAATTATTTGGTTTCTGGGTCCAGTGGTCCCTCCCGCTAGGCTGGGGGAGGGGCCTTTAGCAGTGGGCGGGTGAGCCCGCCCACTTCCCGGTTCACCAATATAGCAACCAGGCCCAAGCGCGCCCCGCCCGCCCCGGCACGTGGCCTGGCGTGAAATTCCAGCGGGATCCTGCGCTGAGGTAACAGCCCAGGGCGTCGCTGCGCCCCCCTCCTGTAGATTTTGCAGCGTCCCGGTGCGATATCACCCCCGTCGCCTAATTTGCCCCATGGGTTCTGACAAGCACGATGCCAAAATCAGGGCACTGCTGCGACGATGTCCCACCCAGCATATAACTGTCACCTTGGTTTCTTTTGTCCCATTTCTGACATCTTAATAAAAAGAAGAACAGGAGTACTTGTGGCACCTTAGAGACTAACAAATCCATTAGAGCATAAGCCTTCGTGGGCTACAGCCCACTTCCGTAGTCCACGAAGGCTTATGCTCTAATGGATTTGTTAGTCTCTAAGGTGCCACAAGTACTCCTGTTCTTCTTTTTGCGGATACAGACTAACACGGCTGCTACTCTGAAACCTGACATCTTAATATCACTGATAACAGCAGTGTTGCCATCCTGTCCTGGGACACAGACTAGGGTGTCCAGACAGCAAATGTGAAAAATCAGGACGAGGATGGGGGGTAATAGGAGCCTATATAAGATAAAGACTCCAAAATTGGCACTCTCCCTATAAAATCTGAACATCTGGTCACCCTAACACAGACTGAGGTGACAAGTCCCTGTCTTCCGCAATTGCTCAACTTTAAGCATATGAGTAGTTTTATTGAAATCAATTGGACTAGTCACGAGTTTAAAATTACGCACATGCATAATGACAGGTTTCAGAGTAGCAGCCATGTTAGTCTGTATCTGCAAAAAGAACAGGAGTACTTGTGGCACCTTAGAGACTAACAAATTTATTTGAGCATAAGCTTTCGTGGGCTTCTTCGGATGCATAGAATGGAACATATATTGAGGAGATATATATACACATACAGAGAACATGAAAAGGTGGGAGTTGTCTTACCAACTCTGAGAGGCCAATTAAGTAAGAGAAAAAAACTTTTGAAGTGATAATCAAGATAGCCCAGTACAGACAGTTTGATAAGAAATGTGAGAATACTTACGTGGGGAGATAGATTCAATGTTTGTAATGGCTCAGCCATTCCCAGTCTCTATTCAAGCCTAAGCTGATTGTATCTAGTTTGCATATCAATTCACTCAATGACAGACCTGCGGGTGGCAATTTTGCAACAGAAAAGCTTCAAAAACAGACTCCAATGAGAAACGGCTGAGCTTGAATTGATATGCAAACTAGATACAATCAACTTAGGCTTGAATAGAGAATGGGAATGGCTGAGCCATTACAAACATTGAATCTATCTCCCCACGTAAGTATTCTCACACTTCTTATCAAACTGTCTGTACTGTGCTATCTTGATTATCACTTCAAAAGTTTTTTTCTCTTACTTAATTGGCCTCTCAGAGTTGGTAAGACAACTCCCACCTGTTCATGCTCTCTGTATGTGTGTATATATATTTCCTCAATATATGTTCCATTCTATGCATTCGAAGAAGTGGGCTGTAGCCCACGAAAGCTTATGCTCAGATAAATTTGTTAGTCTCTAAGGTGCCACAAGTACTCCTGTTCTTTTTGCACATGCATAAGTGTTTGCAGGATTGGGGTCTTGGTCTAAACCACTTGGTGGAAAGTATATAAAGTTATTCATAATCTTGCAGTCCATGAAAAAGTCTACATATGAAAATTCACCTTACAGCAAACTTTGAAATGTTAAAGAAGTTATTTATTACTTTAAGTTACAGTGGGAGTGAAATCTGCATTAGATTGCAGCCTCAACAATCACTCCAATCTTGTAAACACAGAGATGCGTACTTCCACGATGGTATCCTTTTTTCTATAATTCACAGACATGGAGTTCCAAATAAACATATGTACCTATCTTAGTTTATGATCATGTATATCTATAGGTCCATAATACAAAGTATTGCAACAATTTAACATTGAAAAAAGTACCATGTAATCAACAACCATATGCCCTTTAAAAAAAGAAAGAAAGGATATTTAGTGCAAAAAATATATTAATACAATGTTAGGGCTGAGATTCTATATGCATATAAGGCAGAGGCCAGAATCTTGGCTAGAACGTTACTGCATACCTGTGGAAAGGGGGCTTAAACATGCCTCAAACAAGCAACTGAAGATTCCCTGTCTGCTGCAAAGTCTTTATTGCAAAGCAGAGTGTACTAGGTAGTTGCACTGGATGGTTGTGTTTTGGTTGGCCTGTGCTTATATTTACACCTGGATGCTTGAGGGATAGCCTTTTTATGGTTCCTGTGACACCAGCTTTCAGGGGCTCTTGCCTGTATCTCCACAGCCTGTGGAATCCAAAAGACTACCCATGGACAAAGAAGATAGACTCCTCTTTTACACAGATGTTGTCCAACATCTAAGCTCAACAGAGTTTTCTTCCTGGCCTGTAGTGACCCACCATTAGGTCAGCTAACTGAAGAGGCCTGAACAAGACTGGTCAATGACACAAGAAGGCAAAATGCCATTGCCTGTTAGGTTCTTGATGACAATGGAGTTTGAAGTAATGTTTCTTACCTACTTGTGGAATCAGTCTGAGGGACACCCTTACAACATAGCCCCAGACAAAAGAGATCCTTCTTTCTTGACATGGCAGTGACTGTGACCCAGTCTCCCCCACAAGTAGTGCAGTTGCAGTTTTTATCTGCCTGGATTTTGACCAGGTCAACTATTTTTTAAAGATTCTGTGTAGTCCCTTCAGCTTTTTAACCTTTACCCCTTTTTTCCTAGTTTGGTCTAGATGACATCGACATGATGATGCCCCTAAGCATTTCCATTGTTTGAAATTCACATCTTGACTTGCCAACTGGATCATGATGTCACAAATGTTGCATTTGTACTTACCAGTCTGTAAGCAGTACATCAGCACAAAATCCAAACATCAGGGAAGCTTCATGTTAAAGTTCTAGCTGCGCTATGATTGACTCTGCTAGCAATCCCCAGACTTGGACAGACATGACTGTAATCTAGAACAGTTTTCATGACCAGTGTGGACAGTATTTTTTTTTTTTTTTTTTTTTAGAACTACTGTATTCTATAGACCACCAACATAGGCACCCCAAATAGTCTGTAGTATAATTTCATAAAGATGGTCCTCAGAGGGAAAATCCCAGTGCACACTGGTCAGGAAAACTGCACAGAAGCAAAACTTACCGTGTTCAAGTCAGGGGAGCTGGACAATCTCCATCCCAGAATATGGAAAGAGCTGGCACATGAAACTGAAAGTCTAGTAGTAATGATTTTTAATAAATCTGTCAAATCAGGGATGGTACTGTATAACTGGAGAATAGCAAACATTGTACCTATATTTTAGAAGGGTAAGATTGATCCAGGCAACTACTGACACATCAGTCTGACCTCAATGTAAGACATTGAACAGATTTTGAAAGAAAGAATAAAAACATGGAGGTAAATAGAATAAATTGAAACTTGGGTTTACTGAAGGTAGATTGTGCCAGACTAACCTGATATCTTTCTGTGATAAGTTAACTGATTTTTTTAGACATGGAAAATGCAGTTGATCTAATCAACTGCATTTGATATGGTGCCACATGAAAAATTATTTCTTACAATGGAGATTAGCACAAGAATTGTAAGGTGGGTTAGGAACTGGCTAATTTGGTGGATGATAATGGGTTGTGCAGAAAAGAGAACTATTAAGTGTGGGGGAAGATTCTAGTGGATTTCCTCAAAGATCAATTTTGGGAGTCATTGTCAATACAGAGAATTGGAATATTATACAGGAAGCATTGGATGATCTTAAGGACTGTAGTAATAGAAATGGGATGAAATTTAATAGTACAAAGTGCAAGGTCATTGCACTTACTGACTAATAACAAGAAATTCTGATATGAGCTGAGGGTTCATCAGTGTATTAGTTGATCACAGGATGACTATGAACCACCAATGTAAAGCAGCTGTTAAATAGAAATATGATCTGAGGATGTAACAGGCGGGGTATTTCCAATAAAAATAGGGAAGTATTAAATGCCATTGTACAAGGCACTGGTAAGACCTCTCTAGGATAAATATAAAATTAAGAATTAGAGTTAGTTTAAGTTTGGTAAAGGAAATAAATATGTGTTGTAAAGAAAGGCCCTGACTAGCAATTAGAAGGAAAGGCCTTGAAAATAATTAATTATAAGGCCAGAAGGAATGAAGTAGGGAGGATGTCTGTTTCAAAGAATAACTAATGAGATAAGGGGAAGTTTCTAAAAAGAAGGACTCTGACTGATAGGGATGACTGCAGATGGTTTTAAATAAAGAGAATCTGTCCTAAAATGAGCCAACATGACCCTTCCCATCCCACACACCAGTGTTAACACTTATGTGAATCAAAGTGCAATGGAAAAATTGCTGGTTAGCAAGAAGGTGGGGAGGAAAGTCCTAGGGAAGGAAGGAGGTTGTAAATCTTATCGGGATTAAAACTGGAAATAAGGGTGATCTGTCTCCAATTGGTTTTTAGGTGAAGTCAGTACTTGGCAATGACATCACTTGTTTGTTGAAGGGTATAATGCTAATACTGCCTGACCATGTTGGAGCTGACCAACGTGGATCTAAAGCAGAGGTGGGCAAACTATGGCCCGCGGGCCACATCCAGCCCGCGGGACTGTTCTGCCCAGCCCCTGGCCTGGGAGGCTAGTCCCCGGCCCCTCCCCTGCTGTTCCCCCTCCCCCACAGCCTCAGCTCACTGCGCCGCCGGCGCAATGCTCCGGGCGGCGGGGCTGCGAGCTCTTGCCGGGCAGCTTCAGAGCTGCGCGCAGCCCGACCTGGTGCTCTGTGCTGCGCGGTGGCGTGGCTGGCTCCAGCTGGGCGGCACGGCTGCCTGTCCTGGTGCTCGTGGGTGGTGCGGCTGTAGCGCCGCCAGCCATCAGTGCTCCAGGCAGTGTGGTAAAGGGGCAGGGAGCGAGGGGGGGTTGGATGGGGGCAGGGAGCAGGGGGGGCAGGGGGATAGAGGGCAGGGGAGTTCGGAGTGTGGATAGGGGTCGGGGCAGTCAGAAGGTGGGGAACAGGGCGGTTGAATGGAGGCAGGGGTCCCGGGGGGACAGTCAGAAAGGAGTGGGGGTTTGGATGGGGCAGTGGGGGGCAGGGGTCCGGGGACGGTCAGGGAGCAGGGGGGCATGGCTGGGGCAGGGGTCCCGGGGAGGCTGTCAGGGGACAGGCAACGGGAGGGGTTGGATGGGGCAGGAGTTCCGGGGGGCCATCAGGGGGCGAGAAGCAGGGGTAGTCAAATAGGGGGCGGGGGCCGGGCCATGCCTGGCTGTTTGGGGAGGCACAGCCTCCCCTAACTGGTCCTCCATACAATTTCGGAAACCCAATGTGGCCTTCGGGCCAAAAAGTTTGCCCACCCCTGATTTAAACACCCCTGGGGTTAGCTCATTTGTAAGTATCTGATTCTTGATCAATTGTTGATAAATGTTTTGTTACTGCATTGGTATAGTAAATTGCTTATTATTTAGGCTTGTTCAGAGCAATTGTATAAACACCATTTGGTCTTCAGATTTAATAAAGGAATTTATGGTTAAATTAGGGTTGTGGTAATACTCTGCATAAATATTAATAATTCCAACAACTTCATCTGGAATACTGTGTACAATTCTGATCACCCATGTTCAATAAAGATGAATTCAATCTAGAAAGCTGCACAGAAGGGCTGGTAGGATGATCATGGAAATGGAATAACTAATAGAAACAATAGAAAACTAAAAGAGCTTGGTTTGTTTAGCCTAGCAAAATGAAGGCTGAGTGGGAATGTATGTTTGTTTATGTTTCTGAACACAGCACGCTTCACAGGGTCTCCAATAGAATTATGCAGTTTTACAACTCATCAAAGCTGCAAGATCAGACAGTACAAAACCAGACAAACATAGTCATAACATGTTGGGGGTGGTCATTATAGTAATAAAATAGGAAAAGATGTTCCTAAATAGGAAAAGGAGGGAAGGAAGGGACCAGGGAGTGGGAGAAGAGCTAATTAACCTAAAGGACAATGTCAACACAAGGACAAATAAATATAAACTGGCCGTGAATAAATTTAGGCCAGAAATTAGAAGGTTTCTAACCATCAGAGGAGTGAGGTTCTGTGATAGCATTCCAATTGGAGTGAGGAGGAGGGGAGAGAGGGCAAACAACCTAACTAGTTTTAAAATGTAGCTTGATAATTTTTGTGAATGGGATTATGTTGGGGTTGCCTGTAATAGCAGGGGACTGGACTTGACGACCCAGGAGGCCCTTTCAGTCCTGTGTCCTATGTTCTTTGATGATATTATGGTTTCAGACATAGTGTGGAAAGAGCTTAGGTAGCTGCTGTGTTCAGTAGCTGGATGACCGCTAGTGAACTGGTGAAGACCCCTAAACAAGTACATCTTCGCGATGTTCCTGGTGTTCTGACCCCCCGAATAGAGCAGCAGGCTCTTCAGTGGACAACTGTTGGTGGCCTGATCCCTCCTGAAGCAGTAACTTTGGAGGAGGTTTCTGGCAGCTCACTTCCCCTTGGGGACACCTGGATCTTTATAGAATGGAGAGCAGTGGATCAGCCTTTCCTCCAAAGCACTGGGATCATCAGAGATGATTCTGTCCCTTTTGTCCAGTGTCCCTCTTCCCTTTCTATGCACAAAATATCTGTAAGAGGGATGTCACTGGCAGGTTCAACATCCTTTTCCAGGGATAGTGGGATCTTCAGAAGGAGGCTGTTGATGGCCCATACATCTCTTTTAGCTTAAGAAGATCTTTGGGGAAGCCCATTGGTAGCTATTCCCTTCACATCTTCCAGAGCATCAAGGATATATATTTATATATTGTTTGTATATATTTGGGTATAGTATATACTTTGTGTATACATAGTGTTGCCCCTTTTTGATCTTAGCAGCTAGTCAAAATTTTAGGACCTGAGGTTGTTCCAGTTGGGAGTAGAAATTAATGATAGAGTCAGGTATTTTCTTTGATACAATCTTGATGAATTACAAGGAATGTATAAAGTCTTTCTTTTCTGAATGCAGGAGGAACCAAAAACAGGAAATAGCTTCTTTGCTTATAGACCCCAGCCTCTTTTGCCAGCCCCTGACTCAGAAATCTAGATTTTTGCAGGGTCATACATTGTGCTTGTTCAGGTGGCCCCCTGAAAATCCATTGGGAAGTATACAAACAGGTATTTTGAGTATTATTTGGTTCTGGAATAGTTAATTTTTTATTTTAAACTTTCTTTTACAAATAAATATGAAGTCATAAGGCCTTTTGGTGGAAAGGCATCACACAGGAAGGAGACTTACAGGAAGTTGGTGATTCATGACACACACACACACACACACACCCCAAGATCCCGGTGGAGTGGTCTGTGTGAGAACATGCTTTCGACAGTCTGGAGAGACCAGTCCTCATTTTTCAACATTACCTTGGAGCCTGAATGTATTGTTGATAATTGATTGTCAGTAGGTATATTTTCAAATGTCATGAGCAACTGGTTTGCTGGAGCCCATCTTTCTTGAAACAAGTCTTGAGATGGTTTGATTCGGGCTGTGATGTACTCCATATCTAGAATTTCAAGTACTTTTTCTTAGACACTGTTGAAGTCTGAGTTTTGATAACTTTTATTACATGCCTTGGCTTACTGAGCTTCAAATGTTATTGATGGACGTAAAATGATCTAATCTTAGTTTAAAATCCATCTGTAGTATTTGCCTCAGTCTGCAGCTGTGAAATCCTGTGTCATATCTGTGTGCATAACTATGTTTAAATAACTAATAAAATAATAATTTTATTGCACTTTCCATTCTCAAAAATCTTTAGAAACTTTGGTCCAAATTCACTCACTCTTGGGAGCAGGAAGGTACTGACTTGCTGTGCCAGATGGGCTGATTCATTGGGGAGGGGAGAGGTAGTGTTTCCACTGTTGACTTCCTCAGGGAGGTTCTATTAGAGGAGGACAGCTTTATATTTCATAGAAGCCTCCTGGTAAGAGGTGGTCAGAGGATGCGCCAGGGGACCTTCAACACTGGGCTCTGTGGCTGAGAAATTTAACATTAAAACTGGTGAATTTAATAGATCAGTGACTATAACACTAATCGTGTGACACAAAGAGGAGATTTAAAGGTAGGGCTGTCAGCAGTGTTTCATGGGAGTGAAGGACAACTCTATATAGAAGATCAAGGCCAAAACTTATTTTTAAGAAGCAACACACCACGCTTTATTTGTGGTCCAAATGATATTATCTATCTATCTATTACAGCCTTTCATGATCTGCATTATTATAATCATTATTATCAGCTTTGGAATTTGCTCCCCGAGTCACCACAGCCTGGACCAGTACACTGCAAAGCTCCCCACTTTCCTCAGTTGTTTGGGAAGAGGTAGGCTGGTGGATTGGGAATGTGGGCCATGATCCTACCCTGAGATCCACCTGGATAGATCCCTGCATCTACACACAGCTTGTTGTAAGACTGGGGCCTTAATTCTTTCTTTAGATTTTCAAGATGTGTCTCATGCGCCAGATACCTCCCATGAACAAATAAACAGTTATATTGTGATGTTCAGCAACATAAAATAAAGTGATCTGTATATTGACTTGCTATGTGATATGGCATGTAAAGCGCCAAAACAGGGAGAAGTGGGTCAGGGGCATCTCTTAAAGGAGAAGGTGGGTTGGGGTGGCTAAGGCTCTTGTCTCCAAGGTGTCAGCCCCTGAGGGCTGGGTTATTTTACCTAGGGTGGATAACATGGAGGGGGGCCTCAGGTTTATTTGAGGTTTTGGGGAGAATCCCCAGTCTGAAGTGGGGTTAACTGGTACCTGCTAGGCCTTGCCCTGCACAGGGGCTAATCTCTCCATTAGTGTTAGCTGGGCAAAGGAGGAGTGACAGTTTTGTGTGGTTCCCACCGTGGTGACCGAGATGCTGCTGGGCAGGGCTGGGGGCTGGCTCACAGAGCTGCTGCCTTTAACGCAGAGGCGAGTTCAGCACCCACCACATCCAGCCTCCCACCCGCAGCCGGGGCCCTGTAAGAGCCCGATGAGTCCCCCAGGCGGCAGGGGGCGCTGCGCGGATTCTTCCCAGGCAGTTCTGGGCCGCTCCCTCGCCGACTCCCCCCCTTTCCCGGAAATGTCTCTAGGTGACGGCGGCTCTGGCAGGGAGACGCCGGGCGTAGCGGGGCGGTGGCAGCTGTGAGCGGCGGCGGGAGCTACCATGGAGCACATCCGCACCACCAAGGTACCCGCCGCCGCCCCCTCCCCGCGCTGCGGGGCAATCGGGGGCCGGGTGCGGGAGGGCGCTGCGGGCCATGGGGGTGCGGGGGTCACTGTGGGGGGCCATAGGGGTGGTTGGGTCACTGGGGGAAGTGGGAGGCCATGGAGGGTGCGGGGGTCACGGGGGGGCTGTAGGTAGTAGGGAGCTGGGTGCGGGAGGGCGGTGGGGGGCGATAGGAGAGGGGACCTTTGGGGAGATGCTGCCGGGAGGATGGCAGGTGAGTCTCTGCTGCGTTGGGGGAGCTGTGAGGGACATGGGTACAGACAGGGCCGGGGCCGCTCTCTGCTGGCAGGATCCCCCCCCCCCCGTCACTCTTTGGAGTCGCGGCCGGTTTGGTGCAGCAGGTTTGTGAAGTACAAACAAAACGGGGAGTGGTGAAAGTCTCTCTGCAAAGCCACCTCCCCCTCTCTGCCTGTGTTCTCCCCACTCCGCGCTGATATGGTTTCCGCGATGGGAGCGGTCACAGGACGCATTTTTCCTCCTGTGCCTCACGGATCACAGAAGGTAGAGATAGAGCAGACTTTCCAGATCAAGTCATCTCCTGTCTTCCCCAGCTAGAGCAGGATATAACCCCACCAAAGGAAAATATTCAGTGTACACACTATACATGTCAGCTGGAAATATAATTATGTTCAAAGGGGGTTAAAATAGTTGCCAAGTTCCCCTGGAGTGTGTTTCTCTGTCAGTTCCTGTGGTTTTACAATAAAAAAAATTTTTTTTAAATGTTTTCCTTTTGCTGGGTGAAAGACTCAAACAGAAGTCATGCAGAGGAAATGGTGCAAGTGGTTGTGCATCTGACAACATCTTGTGTACAAAGTAAACAGGCAAAGAAATGGAAACTCTCTTCCCCGTTCTGGTTTTATGATTTATTTTTATATGAATAGTAGGGAAAATTCATACAGAAATGTGATTTTTAAATTGATGATTCCTCTTTAAAGATGACCTGCAAAGGGAAAAAACTGGATTTGAACCAATTTTTAGTTCTTTATGGTTCCCAGTAGAGCTAGAACACAACTGATGGGGCCTGTAAACAGTCAACGTCCAAGCTGATTCATGCATAGCCATCTATCCGCCAGTGTAGAGCCCAGTTGACTTCAGTAGAGCCCTGCACGGGCATAAGGGACTGCCCATGCTGGATCATGGCTCTAGTGTAGACAGATTGCCAGGATCTTTAATACCATGTCAATTAGATTTGTTCTGAGCAAAGTCAATGAGTGAAGTGCTGACTGCTAGTCTACTCTAGTACTCTCCGAGCTCTGGTCAAGTGTAGGTAGTCTCTTGGTCTATCCAAGGCCGTGATCAAGTGTCTTGTTGTTTTTGGTCTTTTGGCCTCGAGATGAAAACCTTGTCTTTGCTTCTGGGACCTTGACGTGAAAAAAATTATTTCTAACATTGTAAGCACAAATTGACATGAATTGTTGTTATGGTGGGAAATATTTAGAAAATGTCCCTAGTGTAGATGATGATGTCTGCAAAACAACTCCAATGATATCACGAATCAAGAGAGTGAAGGATGAGCGAGAGGATTTTTAGTAACTTTTTAAAACTTGTGTGCATCTGTTTTCTAACTTAGGTAGGTCATACTTTGGAGAAAGAATGCCTTTGTTAAAGATTCATCACCCTTGCCCCTTCAGTTAGTGTGAGAGCTAATAGAATGCATTCTCTGAGACATCTCCAGAAAAACCACTTAGGCCAGAGTAGACATTCCTGATATTTTTCCTATGGTAAAGAAAAGAAGTAAGGGGAATTTAATATAAACAAAACGTTCAGGCCCTCTTTATATGTTATAAAGAAGCAAATGGCAGAAGCAAAAATGTTCCTAGTTGAAACTACTTGATGTCTGTGTTTCTGTGGTGTCTGGTGGTTTTTTGATATGCAGAATGAGTTGCAGTTCAGCACTCCCTCTCTCCTTGCTGGAGGCTGCTGTCTGCAAAGGCTGCTGAAGACTGCATTATCTGCAGTTCCCCAGAAGCCATCACCTCACAAGCAGTCTGACCATAAAGATTTATAGACATATGGCGGAGGGGGATGATGTCACGTTCCAGTTTTAAAGTACTGTAGTTATAGCCAATATTTAATTAAGGGAGCAGGTTATCGGTTTTTAATTTTTTTTATGCATCAATATAAAACTCATTATGGCTGGGGAGGGTTTGATCAGTCAGCTGCTTGCCAGCAAAGCTACATAAATTAAGACTTACTATGCTACACAAAACTAACATACTAGAGACAAGTGAATAGACTGAAAGAAACATTGTCATTTTTAAAGTAATGTTTGAGAATTTTGTTTTTACTACAGCAAATTTTAACTCCTGTAAATAAAAGTAGCAATCCAGAATATAGATATGTTTTACTTTTAACTTTACATTTGACAGGAAACTGGGTTAGCTAGGTTCACTGATTTCCAAGTAGTTATTTTGGCACCAAACCTCCACCTAGCTCTGTGTAGGCCCAATCCCATAGGAATCAATGAGGCTCAGGATGGGTACAGGATTTGACTGTGCAGAGTTAATTGCAGGAATTGGGCCTAAGTTTCTCTCTTGTCAAAAAAATCCTTTATCTGTAAATATAATCAGATAAAGAGAGAGAAATTTAATTTTTTAAAAAGGATGTCCTGAATTTTTTGAGGGTGCTCTGTCAGAGACTAATATTATTTTTAAATCCTGCTAGAAACAATTCACATTAAAATGTGGGATTGATTTGTCAGGAATGACCAAGGTTGGCTATGAAAGGACTCTATTCAACTATGAAACATGTCTACTAATGTGCTTGCTTTGTTTGTTTGGATTTTTTTTTCAAATAAACTTTGGAGGATATAATGTGCATGGGAGTGGAGGAAGGCAGGCAAGCAGGCATATACCAGTTGATAATAAATGTAAGCAGATCTATTATGGGAAGTGGGGCAATTCAAATATAAATATCTTGCAAATTCCTTCTGCATAATAGTTTAGGCTGGACTTTGTTCTGACTGTTATAGGAGGCATATTTACTTTTTTAATCTGACTGCTCTTTGGAGATTTTGTTTTTCCACGTGGATGGTATAGTAAATGGCTAAACAAACTATGAATGCTGCAAATGGAATCCTGGCTTGAAGGCAAAATTTATAGGGGGGTCTAGGGGCAACAGTGCAATGACACGCCGATCTAGACCAATGGGCTGGCAGTGAGAACATTAACCTGAAGAGGTAATCATGAAGTTCCTTCCCTTTCCTTTCCAGTCTCAGTAATGAGGCTATTTTATTGTGGATTGAGTTTGTAATTGTAAATTCTCTTTGGAACTTTGGAGTTGCCCTTGTTACAGCACATACTGAGTAAAATTTTCTAAAGCACCTAATTGACTTGGGAACGTAAATCCCATTCTCTTTCAATGAGATTTACGCTCCTAAATCCTTACATACATTTCAAAATTTTATCCATTGTTCCTCTTCGAACTAAACATGCGAAATAAAGATAAAGGGCAGTGTGAGTGAGATGGATTTTATGTGAAGTGGGGTTAGGAGAGCCCAGTCCCTGTGCTTCTGCCTCAGTTCCCCTAGTAGTGCCACTTTAGTGCTCAGTGGAACCTTAGCAGTGGTGCACTAGAGCCTAACCCACACAGTCACAGAATATTTAAAGAGCAGCGACTGTTGGGCCCAGTATTCTACCAATGAGAACTGTTGACACATGCATCCAGTCTTCTTATCACTGACTTTGTGATCTATAAAGCCATACACATAACTGTATTCAGCCTGTGGACGGACTTTCCAGTTATGGTGCTCTTGACTTTTTTAAACAAATCTGAAATGAACTCTACAAGTGTCTGGCCAAGCTTTTGTAATGTACTTAGATGCTTACATTGTACAGGAGTGACAGTTTGTCAGTCTTTTTTTTTTTTTGGTTAGACTAAAGAAATAGTATGGTTATGCTCAGAAAAGAGCACCACAGATTTGTTTCTTATGTGTATTCCAATTAAAATTTTCTTTTAGTGAAAGAATTCAATTGTAGTACTTTTTAGCTTATTTACTATTGGAAAACAATAGAGCTATGGGATTAATTTCTGCTTCAAAAATCATCAGTACTTCTGAGTCCATTCCACTGTAGGGTCTTTTACTAGTAAGACTTTTGTCAGAAGGAGAACAACTTGGCTGTTGGATCTCAGGATGAGTTTGCAGGCATGGTATTTAATAAGGGTTTGGGGGGCAGGAAATCTGTTTGTAACCTGAACAAATTTGATATGGAGTCATGGCAAGACAGTAAACTTGGAATGACAGAATACAATATTTAGTTACTTCTCAGAGTTGAATCGCTTTTTAAACACTTGCAAGGCAAGACTTAAGATTGTTGTATTTTTCTTCTGTGATATACTAGCCATCTTACTAGAGAACATTCAAGACATGTCCTTTGTTATGCAGACTTTGATCATCACTACCAGTCCCAATCAAGTACTCAGTCCTCTTCTGTGTCTCTGGTCACTGTAAATAGATTTCATATATTGTTGGGGTGACTGGTTTCCATCCTGCTATTGAAAGCTCTCTACAATTCTTAGAGACAATGTTATTTTTTGTCAAAATATTGCTTCCAAACTACATCTGTATCCCGATGTAACGCGACCTGATATAACACGAATTCGGATATAATGCGGTAAAGCAGTGCTCCAGTCATCTAGAATGATACCATTATCTGTGCCTGCATTATCGAGGTAATATCTAGGAAATGCAGATGCCTGCTTTGTTGATCCAGGGCTTTATCTATGCTGTCACAGCCACCTCTCCTGGGTACTGATCCTGCTGCCATAGAAGTGATTGGGAGTTGTGCCATTGACTTTAATGGGAACAGCGTTGGGCCCCTAGTAACACAGCTCTAACTTGGCACTAATGAGACAGTCCTGCCAAGAAATAATGAGAACTGCACAGACCAGCCTTTCACTGTCGTGCTTTTGTGTTGTGGTGTTTCACATATAGGGTCATGTAACGTTTGTTTCTTGTAAAACAAACTGTGTGGAGTTTTTAAAGGGCTTTGTTCATGCCAGCTAAATTGTGGGCTATCTAAAACCCCTTTTTATGAAATATTCCTTTATTGGGGTTAAGAATGGGAAGATTTTTGGTTGGGTGCCAGCATGAGAGATCTCTCCCCGCAAGGGCTCTCTATTTTAAAAACAAGTCCTCTGCTATTTTAGGAGAATGTCTTTTTGCTGATAGTAGCCCTTGTTTCCATTTTACTGGGAGTTTCCAGTTCACTACCAGAGAGTAAGTCATTACACCATGACCTAGGTTTTGGAGGGTGGGAACAGTACAAAGTGGGAGTGAAAATGAAGTCAGGACAGGTTGGGCCGTGGGCTCTGACAGGGATACAGAAAACCTCGGAAGGAAAAAAAAAGTTAATTCAATACTCGAGACTTCTACATAACAGGATAATATACTTACTGTTGTTTGAGGATTTGCTGCTATACTTCAGATAGACTTGGATGCTACATGTTTTCTACTTTTAGCAAATTATACCTCTTGCTTTCAAAATGGTTCTTAAATGCACCGATCAACACCAGTGGAAAATAATCCCTAATACGTAGCAGAACAGAACGTGACTCTTTATTTGAAAAACTTTAACATTACAGATGATAATTGAATTTACTTATGTTCCTAGCCTTGTGTATTTATTGTGCATTGTGTTGAATGGGATTACCTAGTTAATCTTCCTGGCAAATCAGATTTGTTTGCTATTGCTTGCTTCCTAGTATTTGTCCGGTGTAGTTTTAAATGTGCAATGTATTTGAGCTTCCACCACTTTCAAGATTATTCCACAGGCTGATAGATCTCACTGTCAGGGAAGGTTTTCCCCGCAATGTTCAGTCATTTTTTACTTCCTGTAAAATGTGTTGGTTTTTTTTTTCCCCCCTTCCTGCAGGTAGAGCAGGTGAAATTAATAGACCGTTTCAGCACCAGCAACAAATCGTTAATGGGAACTCTGTACCTTACAGCAACGCATCTGTTATTTATAGACTCTAGCCAGAAGGAGACTTGGGTAAGGATATCAGATGCATTATCTTGTAGCCTGAAAATGCATAGCTTCTCCAAATGTGTTTTCTTTTCCTTTTTTTTCTTCTTGTGCATGTCTAATTAAAGATAAATAATTAACTGGATATAGTTTCTCAAATATTTCCCCCTACTTCATGATGCACACAAACAATAAGCAATAGATTCACAATCTATACTCTTATAGTGCCAGTGACCAGGCTTAAGTGCTGCATCTTGTCATTATAGCTAATATTTTAAAACTTGGGAGTCTAAAGTAAATCCATATTATTTAAGCACTTAAAAAGCTGCCTGATTTTCAAAGGTGGGAGCTGTGGGTGCTTGGTATCTCTGAAAATCAAGTCACTATGCAGCTAATTTCCATTTCTTGTCTATTAAAAGATGGTCATGCCAATTAGTTCTTCATTTGTGTATGGTGACTTTGTGTAGATCTCTACCACTTTGACTTTCTGTGCTATCAGATGGGAAGAGATTGTTTAGTGTTCTAAGCATCAGGTTTAACATATCTAGATTACCTTGAACTTGAGGTTCAAATCCTTGTAGCCTTAAATGAGACCGCAAAACCCAAGGGTGTCAGTTCTGCATGAACACTGAAGATCTTGTACGTTTTTAAAAAAGGTATGAGCATCTCAGCTATGACCTTAGACCTGTATCCTGATTACCTGCTTGGCTAGCTGCTGCCCGTTGTCTCAGTGGAATCTGTACTTCATTGTTTCTGTGGATACAGTACATAGTTTTGAAGAAGCTTTGGAATTCTTCAGAATGAAAGGTGCTGTACATGTTAACAAAAAAAAGTTCAAAAGCACTGATTGTTCCCATTGTGCTTTACTTCATTTTAATATCCTTGAAGTCAGTCCAGTTGTATCCACAGTACAACTTGTACTGAAGTAAATTTATAGACAGAGTATATATAAGAGCATCTTTAATCATTGTTAGTATAGTAGACCCCCATTTATCTGGCTCTCCGTATCACACCTCTCCGGGTGGCGGGGCTCAGCTCCTGCTCTCAGCCCTGGGCCTTGCTGCCAGGGGTTGAACCTCTTTGCCCATTCTCCATATTACCTGGATTTTTGATTATCTGATTTGGCCCCAGTCCCAATTAGATTGGATAAACTGGGTTCCACTGTATAAAATTCTGTTGTTGAAATCTAGTCTCTTCCTCTCAAATACATGTCTTGCAAAATGCTTTCTTAAACTCCTGTCTAATTTTATTTGAGTCTTAAGAGGAGAAAACAACTGTGGTAGTAAGAGGGCTGAACAATATGTTCCTTTCAATGTCTCAGATGAAGCAGACTGTATCTGTGGCTTTCCTGCATAGGAAAACAACTGTTACATCACACATACATTTTTTCATATTTGGTCTGTTGTGTTTACATGTTTGTGTAAAAAAATTAGTAAAATTCCTATGTTAATTCTTTCTTCCCTCAAAGGACATGTATTGTGGTTGAGGTGGTGGTTTGGTGGGAGAGAAGTTGTATGGAACTGACTTTGGAGTCTGGGTATAACATCTAGATCATCCAGATGAGTAGCTGTAGAATAATTCATAGTAGATCTTTCTCATCTCTCTTTTCATCCTGTTCCCATGAACAGATTATGCTGCCTCTTAGCTCACACCTGTGTGGGTAAAGAGAGGCTGATTCTAGGAATTGATGTCAAAAGTAAAGAGCACTAACATAAACTACAGTTATAGGCATAAATGTAAGGTAACCTTCACATTCTTCATTAGAAAGTCCATCTTCTGCATGTCAAGTACTGGTCCAACTGCTTAAAACTAAAGTTTGAGGATAGTAAAACTGAGTTGTGTTAAGATTAAAGCTGGCTGATAATGGAAATCCCTTCCTGCAAAAGATTCCATGTTTTCCTCCTGACCTGAGGTGAAATGCTGTTTTTTTTTTTCTTTCACAAAAAGGGGTTTCAAGAAAAATTGTTTCTGGAGAACCAAAACTTTTTAGCCTTCTCAGCTGCTGGCATGGAAGGATCTGGCAGAAAATGAAATTGACAATAGCCTCTCAGGCCTGCTGTCAAAGAGCAGGGTGCTCAGCCTTCCTGTCTCTCCCTCACTACCATCAGCTCTGGTGATGGAGAGGCCGAAAGCTAAGGTGTTCAACCTAAGCAGCCCTCCTGGAAAATTTTGTGTCAATTTCACAGCCTACAGAAGGAAAGCAAAATTGACAAAAGCCTTCTGGACAGGGAGCTGAGAAACCCTCCTTTTGATTTTCAGGACAGAAAATTGAATTATTATTTTTTTTGTGCAAAATTTAATTTCACTTTTGCAAAAAAGACTTTTTTTTCCCTTCCAGAAAATCATTTTGATGAAAAATGTTCAACTAAATCTAGTTAAGAGGTTAACTAAAATAACTTTTTCTGTACTTGTAGCTGTTTTGTTTGGTTGCTATTTTTGATGCTTTGAATTTAAGAGCTCTCCCAGACATGGAAAGCAACCAACCACATATCTTCCCAACACCTAAATGGATACAGCTTTTCAGGCAACGGAGCTTTATAGAAAGTGATTGACCTGCCTTTTTGAAGATTTACCTTTGCATTATGTGTGAAGAAAGATATTCGCTTGAAGTTTGTGACATACTGGTAATCCTTTGAAGTTTAGCGGAAGAGAAGGAGCATAATTTCAAATTAATGGTTAGGATAGGTCAGGGGTCGGCAACCTTTCAGAAGTGATGTGCCGAGTCTTCATTTATTCACTCTGATTTAAGGTTTCGAGTGCCAGTAATACATTTTAACATTTTTAGAAGGTCTCTTTCTACAAGTCTATAATATATAACTAAACTATTGTTGCATGTAAAGTAAATAAGGGTTTTAAAATGTTTAAGAAGCTTCATTTAAAATTAAATTAAAATGCAGAGCCCCCCGGATCGGCGGCCAGGACCCGGGCAGTGTGAGTGCCACTGAAAATCAGCTCGCGTGCCACCTTCGGCACACGTGCCATAGGTTGCCTACTCCTGGGATAGGTTGACCAAAATGCCAGTGTCGGAAATTTCTTTAACAAATTAAACCTATTGTATAAGGATTTTTGACTAGCTTGTTCAGTTATGTTTAACAATATACTTTGTGTCTCTTTTCAAAAGTATATTTTAAAGTGCTATTAACTAACATCTTACAGTAAGACTTGAATTATGAATTCTTGTGTGCCATAGATACTGCATCATCATATCGCTACAGTGGAGAAACTTGCCTTGACTACTTCAGGCTGCCCTCTTGTGATCCAGTGCAAGAACTTCAGGGTAGTTCACTTTATTGTTCCCAGAGAAAGGGATTGTCATGACATTTACAACTCTTTGCTGCAACTGTCAAAACCAGGTATGACTTTCAAGTGCACAAGACCTTGCAGTGTATGTTTATGCCACCATTCTGCAAAACAACTCTGGACTTTGTGCTATTTCTGTTGTTAAATGTGAGGCTTCTGTAAAGTCTCTGAAATTGAGCGGCATAAACACAGAAAGCCATTGATCTACTGTGCGTAGTTTTGGTAGCTGTTACTCTGTGTGTAGTTTTGAGTGTGCTGATGTACGGGTATGGGAGAGGGTGAGATCTTAAGTGATTGTGAAACCGCATTTATAAAAGTCACTGTTGGTTGTCACATCCCTTCGGGTACAACCTAGACTCTGGGACCACTGAGTCCCCTTAAACTTTTCAGCCTGGGCTGTCTCTCACAATGTTATGCCAGTGACAAGCAGCAAACCCTTCCAAGTGCTGTGATCACTCAGCTATCAACTTGTGGAGAGACATGGCCAGCTGACTTGCATGAATGCTCTCTAAGCCATTCATGGATTATACAGAGGGAGACTCCAACCAATTCCTCCAGCCCCCAAGCCTTGTACCCTAGAAATGTACTGTCTTACACTGCTGAAGATCTTCTCTTGAACAGTGCAATCTCATTGATTAGTTTGTCAAAGGACAGACGATTTGCACCAGCCTTTGTAATCTGAACAGATTACCCAAGCACTTTAGATAAACCCACTGGTAAGGATAAAACATTAAAATAAGTTTATTAACTAAAGCAAGATAGGTTTTAAATTATAAGTGCTAGCCATAGAGGTCAAAGTAGGTTACATAAGGCCATAAAAATAAAATTGCAGTCTAAAGTCTAAACGTTAACAAACTAAGCAAGATTTGAATCCAGCAACTTTTTCTCACCCCACTGGATGTCCCAGGCAGTTTACAGTTCTTAATACACAGGCTGAATTCCCTTCTCAGCCTGGGACCAATCTCCCCAGCTCAGAGTCTTTTGTCTTCCAAACAGTCTTCTAGGTGTTAAGATAGGGCAGGAGAGAGGCCAAGTGGTGATGTCACTGTCCCTCTTTTATACATTTTTCCAGCTTCTAGAACAGGGGTGGGAAAACTTTTTAGCCCAGGGGCTACATGTGGGTATGGAAATTTATATGGCAGGCAATGAATGCTCATGAAATTCAGGTTGGGGTGCAGGAGGGGGTGAGAGCTCTGGCTGGGGGTGCGGGCTCTAGGGTGGGGCCAGAAATGAGGAATTCAGCGTGCGGGAGGGGGCTCCGGGCTGGGGCAGGGGGTTGGGTGGGGGGTTGAGGTGCAGGCTCTGGGGTGGGGCTGGGGATGAGGGATTGGGGTGCAGGAGGGTGCTCTGGGTTGGGATCGAGGGGTTTGGAGAGCAGGAAGGTGGATCAGGGCAGAGGGGTGGGGGGCGGAAG